TTGGACGCATTTTACTCTAAAAGGTCGATGTAAAAATACCAATGATTGCGTGCTTCTTGGTTTTTTCCCCTCTTTTATTCATTTTTGTACAGTTGCTTTCAACACCACTACGGCTAAATGATACTAATATCGATGTCATCTCTTAGAAAGGACTTGCCACGTTTTAAAAATGTATATATTTTTAAAATGAAGTAAAAAAAAAAAAAAAAAATAAATGTAAATTAAATGAAGTAAAAAATGAAACAAAACCAAAAAGAGTGTATTTAAAGTTTACTTCATATCGAAAATTTTAAGGATGGGTAAAAAACCAAATATCCACCGATGACAATTTGGAAATATGAATCAAAAGGAGAAAGTAACATTGCATTTAAATAATGAGTCACCATTACAACACCTCCTTCTCTCTCAATTTTCTCATTTCGACACTGTCGTAATTTTACATACGGACTAAAATATAATGCTTGGACCAAGTCACTGTTATTCATTTTACAAGTGGACGTAAACTACTGGACAAAGCAGGTGCGCGGACAAAAAATCCTGGACGAAATGTCCAGGAACCTTTCTATGAGTCTGTAAAATGAGTTGAGAAATCACGATGTGCATGTTATTTTTATTTGAATAACCGTGTCTCCCGACGGTGGCAATTTTTAGCGTCACGTAGAGTTGCGAAATTGGAGTGACTTATCTGTACGAAATTCTCTTTTTGAATTATTATATACTTTGTAAACCGGGAAGCTTAAAAATGCGCAATTATTCCGTTAAATTTTGAAGTTAAGATTTGATTCGAGACTTCTTTGATGCGTTCACTGTAGTTTTGACTCTCCCAACACGTGCCTATCTCGGTTTTCGACGTTGCAGTTGCAGTCCTGTTCTAAGACTTTGTATTTTAAATAAAAATCTACTCGACGGAAATTCTGGAAAGCGGGCGTGCATTATCTTTTCCGCTCGAGGCAAGTTTTGAAAATATATTAAAAATAACAAACTTCATGTAATGATGATGATTTGTGTTCATTTAAATAAATAAAATAGGAGCGAATATTTTTAGACATCACTAACAAGATTTGTGGTTTTGTAGTACGACCGTCAAACTTTCGTTCTCGGTCTGGTAAAAGTTATCAAAGATCCATCGGCTTGTATGCTCTACATGCCATCTTTATTAAGCAACATATCTTATGCATGTGTTACCCCAATTGTGAATTTTCTACTGGTCCATTTCACACTCCAAATGATAAATGACTCGTTAGCCCCGTCACCACGCAAGAACTCCATCCAGGGTGAGCAAACACGGCTTAAAGTTTGCAAAATATCGTGAAAAAGAAGATGCGGCGATGATAACGCGGCTCGTGCGCACGATGAAAAAGAATTTGATTTCGCATCACCCTAGATAGTGCATAATAATAACACACATCGGGGCGTGATTGGGGATCTGCTCTCTTCGCTGGCATGTGAACCTGTCTCGTAATGTCATTGTCAAAATTAATTCTCAGGATCTTGACGGCGCCGCGCACAGTGGATCGGAATCAGTAGGAGAGGTTGGACAACATTTGGAAACTTAGGACGCTTATAACTCCTAGAGTCCCTTCATACCCAGAGTTACAACATCTCAATTCTGGTCGGGCTTGACTGGGCTCAGAGACAACTGAAAGTGGCCTAAAAAAATCCAATTCTGATTGGTTCTTACTCATGGAGTCACAAAAGAGTGCACCAAGATGGCGGTGGCTCGAATGTGAACAAAAATAATGAAAATATAACCTAATTGTGATTTATCAAGAGTAAAATATTATATTTATCGCACCAAAACGAAAATAGATAAGGAAATAATTCAAAAATCAATCTCATTTTATTTTATTGCTTTTTCTTTGGTTAGGTTTTGATCAGTTTTGTTGATGGCGTTGTTTTTGGAAGACAGACATTGCAAGATTCCTTATCCTTATTCCTCAATATCTTTCATTTGGGTGCATACTTTTGTGACACCATGGCCAGTCCAGGCCAGCCGAGGCCAGCTGATAATCGAGATGTCTTAACTCTGGGTATGAAGGGACTCTAATAACTACGTTTATACAAAACTAAGAGGCTCTAAAAGTTGGATTGCATTTTGCAAAAAGGAACCACTAGCATTGCAATGATGCTAAGATTGTGCAACTTCATCCTTTGCAATAAAATTGCGGAAATCGTGAAAAACAATGAAATTTAGATGGTAATTTTTGTCTTAAATTTACAGTTTTTAGCGAGTAAAATAGAAACTATTCAGGGATAATCGGGGTTTTCCTCCAAAACAAAAGAAGTTGGACAATCTTAGCAACATTGCAATGCTAGCGGTTCCTTTTTGCAAAGTGCAATCCAGTTGTTCTATTGGTTTCCTCGTAGAATTTTCTTCGACGAGCACCCCTTGGAGTTCGAAATGTGACGAAATAAACATAAAAATTTGCAGTTTTAGTCAAAGATTTAATGTCCAACCTCTCTAATTGACACGATCTATTGTGCGACGAGCCGTGGTGGCGTGCGCGTGCGAGCGTTTTCCCACGCCCGAGGGTCAGCGAGCCTCCGTGTTTTGTGATCGAGACGTCCATCCGAGTTACACGCCCGTAAAGGTCACCGCCGCGCCGTGTCGTGTTGTCGGATCCTCATGAGAAAATGAGCATCTTGGTTTTTTCATTGTTTTTTTTTTTGTTTTTTTTTATTGTTTTTTTTTAAATCGTAATTTAGACTATTGTCTAATTTAAAAAAGGAAAAAAATGGAATTATGAGGAAAATGCTGAATAAGTAACATGTTAACGAGGAAAATATTAAGTAAGAAGAAATGGATTGCGAAAAGGAACCAAGAGCCTTTCAATATTGCTAAGACTGTGCAACTTTACATTCTCTGTGATAAAATTACTGGAATCATTCAAAAAACTAAATTTTAAAGAAAATTTTCTTCTTGAATTTATAATTTAGTGGGAATAATGATAAAACCTGTTTAAAGGATCAGTTTATATTCGCAAGGTAAACAAATTTGCACCATCTTAGCGCCATTACAATGCTCTTGGTTTCTTGTTGTTGATCCAAATTGCGGCGTTCGTTGCAGAGAAGGCATAACTTGGTCGCGATGTTTCAGCATCTTCACTGCTAACTTATATTGTAGGGAGGAAATTGTGAAGTAAATTTTCTAAATGTATGCGTTCTCAGCATTGTAAAATCATAAAGAAAAACCAGTGAAAGTTTCAACAAATTCCATAAATTCGCTTCCGTCAAAATGGATGGAACGTCAGTGAAGATTCTAAGACACCGCAATCTAGAAATGCCATTCCTGTACCCATGGAATTGCAAAAAAATGCACATTTCATGAATTTCCCAACCGCACAACCTACCGGTAACATACTATGTATTATTTTGAGTCTTAGTGGGACCTAAATTCCGCATCATATCACTGTTTTTCATAAAAGAACCAATTTTAAGAACCAGCAACAGTCGAATGAACATGATAAGACCCCATTTGCAACGTGTTCATCAGGTCATGCCTTTGGGGCGGTTGTGCAAAAAAGATAAGCATGGTGCCCTGGTAAAAAAAAGTAGCTTGGATCTGGAATCCAGACTCTTAAAAACATTGATAATAAAAAATACTCTTGATTCAAATGGTAATCCGCTTAAATCAAGAGGCTTGGCTCTTCTATTCAAGGAAAAATCCGATTGAATCAAGAGTATTTTTTCTTGTCAATGTTTTGAAGAGTTTAGACTCTAGATACAAGCTACTTTTTTTTACCAGTATGGACTTGTAGGAGGCTTGAGAAACGCATCGGCCATTGACATTTATGCTCAGTTAATTGAAAAAATTGACTCCTGTTCTCATAGCTATCGTCGTCAATAATACCTGAGTAGTTACGTAATTAAAATTGAATGGTTTTGCTCACAATTAAATTACAGACTCAAAACGAAGTCATCAGGGGAAAAACAATCCAGAGGAAAATGTATCATTCTCAAGGTCGTAAAGGGGACAATGTCTCGCTTGCGCACAAGTGACACACAGAACCGTGAAATCGGCACGAAAAGACTTCATCTTGATCAGACATAGAATTTTTTCCTCTCGCGTGACGATAGTATTGCGTTTTTCGGTCTACGAGAATGAATGAGAATGTTATTCAACTGAGATGTTTCAGAGCAGCAAGAGAGGCGATGACAGCAGCCCGGAAAACATAAAAATAATACAATTGGAGGCTTAAAGTTAAACCAGACATATGTCAGATATATTACTTATTTTTTGAGGATGTACGGGATAATTGGTCATCGTATGTGACATCTTCGGTTTTGGGTTTTTTTCCTCCTATTTTTACGCAGAGCAGCAGTGGCGTGATGTGCTTTGCGATACATAGCAATCAATCTGCCATTTGAACCTATAGAAACGTATCGATAAACCGAGCGTTTGCAACAAAAACCTTAACAATCGATTCTTTACCACAGCTTCAAATTGGGAAGGAAATATCAAAAATTGAGCATTTACATCGCGCCACCGCAGAACAATAATTTCGTGCCACGAGTAATATTATACAATTTAATCTTTCAAAAGAGGCTCTGTTAAAAGCGAAAATTGAAGGATTATTTTTCTAGCGAGGGGTGCATTTAAATGATGATAAGCTTTATCAAATTTTCTAAAAAAATGATTATCTCTTTTGATGAAGTTTTCTTGAAGTTGGGATTCAAATCTGTAGTTTTTAGCTGGGCTTATGACTAACTCCATTTGAGAAAGTTTTGAGATAATGTGCATGATTTGAAGTATGCAACATTTGTACTCTTTTACACGGAGCAGAATTTGTTTTCATGGCTGTTCTCTCCCGTGTAATTGTCGAATTTTTAAAAAGGCAATATTATTTTCCGATATTTTACACAGTAAATCTGAAAATTTCTTACCGCAAGTATTTTATGAATAAAGTGGCTTACAGCATTTTATCTCATGCATCATAATGCACATCTTGCAGGTTCACTCCTCACTTTGTCTATAAAAGTATTTTTACGGTTTGTTTCAGATTTTTGTCACAATCTCTGTTAGCATATTCATTAGTATATGCTCTTACACAGAGGCAAAACCAGGATACATTTCAAACCCATACTATGTAAGTATTCTTTTACCGTTGAATATGAAGCATATATTTACTGTGCCTGGCCATGGAACAGGATTCGTGCATCTGAGATGACAAGTTTTACTTCTGTCCTATAATGCGCCTTGGATCCAAATGGCGGCAACAACATATACACCTAGGTTAATCCGTAATGTTTCTCTACCGAAACAATAGAACTTCCAAGTTCTGCGCTCATATGACTGCATTTTACTATAAACGGCATGGTCAGAAACAAGAAATGCAGTTTTTAAATGAGGTATCAGCCATATGTTTTTTTAGTAAATGGATTTTTCCACACGACTGAGAACTCGATTGAGGAGGGTTAGAAACGAGTAGAGTATTTTTCAAAATGTTAAGTGAATAAATTTTTCCCCAATTTAATTTTGAGGTAATTTAATTTATCATGCGGTGCAAATCTACCGCAAAATTATAATGTATTACAATAATTTTAAATGCTTTGGAAAATGAAGATATACACACCCACAGCATTATTGCAATATTGACATCTAAGTGTACTTACAAGGTACTAATGTACAAGGAAATCCCAAGTAGTTCAGTGCAATAAAAATACTAGTATAAAATTGCGATTCAATGCAATAAAATTGCAATTTTACCATGAAATTGCGATATTATCACATTTTTTGGTCAATAATTGCACATTATGAATGATTGATAGTGTAGACTCTATTATATCAAAGAGATAGGCAATTGGTAATTCAGAGAAAAATTGCACCTGATTTCAATTTTAATGTAATAACTTTCAATAAGAAGTGTCCCTTAATTACTAGATAGGCAATTCACCATGAAATTGAAATTTAGTATAGGCTGTGCTTCTCAAGACTCATTTCCTTACTCAGCGATCAGCAGGTAATTTCCACTCTGCGGGCCGATTATCGAAACTTATAGACAAAGCTATAGACAAAGACGACAAAAGGGATTTGGAGGGATCCTATTGGTCGAAGCAGGTGGTGGTTATGAACATGGGAGGTAGGTAATAGACTAACTAACGGCTCTAGTCCATCATTTTCTTCCTTAGTCTATAAGCACCAACCATGTCAACCAATAGGATCGCTCCATACTTCCTATGTCTTCCTTGTCAAAGCTATAGAGCTTTGTCCACCAGTTTCAATAATCGGCCCGCTGGCGTTGATTGGTCATCTCTATCAGATGTTTTCGAATCTCAGCCTGAGAGCCACATTTAGACGTATTTTCACTAAACGGAACTAGAGACGCGTGGGAAAGATGGGGTGTGCTCATGGTGAGCTGAATGAGGAACGATGTAAAAGCGAGAGTGATTCCTTTTTATTAGAGGACATGGAGAGGCTTCTTTCAATGTTTTCCGATCAGAAACTTCTGAGTCCGTTTTCTCGAAACTTCATTTTTGTACTCACTGCTCTCTTCGCCATCACGGCAGCACGGGCGACCGCGGCGGCGGTTTCGTCGTTGCTGACGTCACTGGCGCTTTTCATCCATTCTTGCGACCCTCGACTAACGAGCACACCCTTTCGTTCCCACACGTCTCTGGTTCCGCTAAGCAGAAATACGCTCATTTGAATCGCACTAACACAATTGATTTTTTTTTGTTTCTCGGTTGCAGAGTCCTCCAAAATACTCGTACAACTACGGCGTGAACGACCCCCATACTGGTGACGTGAAGCACCAGGAGGAGGAGCGAGAGGGTGACGTAGTGAAGGGGCAGTACAGCCTGGTGGAACCGGACGGTTCCGTGCGGACGGTGGACTACACCGCTGACCCGGTCAACGGGTTCAACGCTGTCGTCAGCAAAACCCACGGGGTTCATCCCCCACCCGCTCCCGTCCACGTACCAGCCCATGTACCAGCTCATGTACCAGCACATGTACCAGCTCATATCCCAGCACCGGTAGCCGTTGTCGCCAAGCCAATTGCACCTCATTACGGTAAAAAGTGTATTTTACTCGGACGGATCTAACCAAAATCAGCTTAATAACATTTCAGCCGTGCCAAGGAAGAACGCCCTGTGAGCCCTCAGACACATTTGAAAAAAAGAGTTTGCACCTTTGCCGCATTTTACACTCTGCAGTATAAAAAACCCGAGCTGATGGTTTTAGTTTTTTTCCAATTTTGTAGGGGGGTGCTTCAATGACGCTGTGGTGTAAGGAAAAATTGTAATTCTAACCTTAAAATTACAACAATGGCGAAGTGAGTATTCTCTTCGTTCTACAAAATCGTCCGTTTGCAGATAGACGATATTGTTCGTTAGCCGGTCGTATGCGGCGTGATACATTAGGCGTAGCGTGATAATAAATGCAGTCGGTGCGCCACGCCGCGCCGACTGCACTGACGCAATGCGTGTAGTATTCACACGGTCTTGTAGGCGCTAATATGCGTTCCAGGCCGATCGCACTGTGTTTTGCGCTATTATTCAAACGGGCGGAGTTGAGCAGTTCCCATTTTGCTTGGTCGTTTGTGCCGATGCATGAAGGCCGAGACCCCATCGCAAGGCAATAAATCAAAAGTGAAAAAATAAAAAGAACTTGTGACTAAGATGGGGTTTTTGCGCACACTGAATGGGTTATTGTAATGTATAACGTGCTACATAAAATCCAACTACTTAAGTATCCTTATTCTGACTAAAATTCTGATTATTTTTATATGATGTAAACGAAATAATTCTCTAATCACGTGGAAAAGAATTCCCTGTAAAAATTAGTTCCATACGATCATAAATACGTTTTTTCTAGTCCGTTAATGCGAAATAATCTCGAAGTATGCAGCATTTCGTAAAATAAAAAGTTTTCACAATTTCGACGGTTGAAAAATCATGAGGAGCATTCTTGAACGGGAAATAAAATGACAGTTTGTACTTAACGGATTTTTTGTCTCAAAATATTGAAAATTAGAGAGGTCTTTATGAAAACGTTAAAACCTCTTATAATCTGAAAATTTAAGTATCTGCCTAGGCATTTGATAAAATGCCTAATTTGACTATTTGCCTGCGACACATATTTTAACTTCAGCTTTCAATATTCAATAATATATCCCCTCTCGTCATTCAATTCAAAACTCTTAAATATTTTGTTTGTTAACAGTGCACCCGAAGCCAGTCATAGAGCCAATTGTGAAGCCTTACCACTCAGCATACGGCGCTTACAAGGTAGCACCCGTTGCTCACGTAGCCCCAGCACCCGTGGCGGTGGCCGCAGCTCCTGTCTACCAAGAATACTACGAGGCCAACGAAATAGCCAATTACGTTGACCCTCACCAGTACGCAGATCCACACTCCGCAAATGCCTACCTCGATTACAACTACTACTAACGACATTACGCTCAGACATCAGTCTAAAGACTACCTTTCAATTGAGGAGCCTGGAGGACGAGGCGACTAAGTGCCATTTTTGCCATTTCGAGAAATACGTGCTCGAAGTTTCGGAATTGCATGAATCTTTATGGCGGAAAAAAGTTCAAAATGACTCTTTGATGCTTAAAAATTGGAATTTGGGAGCAAATTGTTTACAGAATATGCATTAAGACTAGCTTTACTTGAAATCATTATTACAGTACTCTCTCATCGGGCAATTCCTTCGCAAAAGAGGGATTTTCGTTATAACGAGTGTCGTTATAGCAAGAGAATACTGTGTCTCCATTTTTCTTTTCAGAAACTGCACTCATGCGCCTTGTCCTCCAAGCTCCTCATTTGTATCCTCCTTCAAATATGGATTGGCCGTATTTTCAATTTGTGATCATGGAGGAGAGCTCAGGATGAATCGGACATCGATATCAGGAAATGGGTATACTTCATTTACTTTGAATGAGGCTGTACCGAAATGCAATGAAACTGATGAATAAATGATAAAAACATAACTATGATGGTTTGAATCGGAAATGGGGGTATCGAGTGTTTGAAAGTGTGGATATTCCCCCACACTTCAAAGGGAAATGTAACCAGTGATAAAGTTTTTTTTGCGATACCTTTATTTTCTTGAGACGATAACTCTAGAAATTAATACTTAACATGAAAAAGAAGAAAAAAAAGAAATAAAATCATATCCCCATGCATTTATAAGGGATCAAATAAAAAGGGTTCATTTATTTGATAATAAAAACCAAACTGCCGTCAAAAATACCCAAATATTATTCATTTAAATGATCTCAGTTTATCGCGCAATAAAAATTGTATCTTCATCTATGAAAAGAGCAAAGTGCCAACAATCATTCTCATATTTTTTTCTTTTTTTTTTCATAAATGTATTTGGCATTGAAAATCAAATCTGTTTCGTGTTAATGCCATAGCTTGTATATGCGATTCATGGAGAACTAATGTTATGAATTGCTTTGTAAAGAGAAAAAATATTAGTATCAGTTGAGTAAATGTACATACTTACTAATTTTATACATTTAATTTTTATACCAGTACCAAATCAAAATAAACAGACAACATAAATCTGCGTTTCCTCTATGTGCTATTACTGTATTGATCCTTTAAACCTCAACACACACACAGAATTATCCTTGTATCTCTTTGTGAAGTAATTTTTGTTGCATATTACCAAGAATCTAGAAACATCAAGGAGCATGGACACTGGGTAAAAAATAATTTAATTCGACTTGAAATTTGAAAAATCAAGTTTTTTTTTAATCTACCACGAAATGTCGCTGTTTCTAACTGAGACCAAAAAAATGATACATCACTCACATGATATAGTTTTTGAAACTGTGAATTGTGAGGCTCAGTGAAACTGAAAATGAAAGAATCGCATGGAGAGAGGTACAAAAATAAGTATGGTGCCTTTTTTGACTTACTATCGTCTTGTTCCTTTTGCTCAATCTTTTACCGTGCGTAAAATGAATAAACTGAAGGAATTGCAATCGATTGACTCAAACAGTTTCACATAATATCTCTATCCTCTTATACACATTTTCAGGAACTTGAACAGCTTAAAAAAGTACAAATAACTTATCAGTACATGATTTATTTCCATTATAATAAATTAGATTCTGGTAACAAAATAATAAACTTAAAACCAATCCGCTAACTTGCTTCTTGTGTATGATGTAAAATTTAGAATGTACACATTCAACTAAAATCAGTTTAGAATATTAAGAGGGAAGGATACAGATTCAAAATTTACATGATCAGTACCGCATGAGTTTCAAATAATAGATTCAAGTACAAAACATAGACACGTCTTTTGTGGGAGATGATCCTCAAAAACTCAGTAAATAATACATTTTTATTACCTAATGTATACATGTGTATACATTAGGTTCCTAGGTTTCCTAAAAATCCTATGCAAGCATCCTTGAACAGGTATAATTAGTGAGCAAATTTTGTGGTATTCATTGCTATATTAATAATTTGCATGGAACTTACTCCGTAAGTTAAAGTATCAATGATTTCATTTAATATTGATTTATCACTACCAGTGTCTAGCACAAACACTAAAATTTTAGTGAGGATACAAAATGATTTTGAATCAAGAACTTTGGTGCTAAATAGGAACTATAAGTAACTCTCTTGTGCACTTTTTAAAAGTGGTCTTGGTCCTACAAGAGGGATTGTGCGCAGAGGTCTGCAGGGTGTGGTGTATTTTTACGAGGACAAAATATTTCCAGCTGTGTAATTTTTACCTTTCCTCAGGTATTTTCTGCCCTCTTTTAAAACGCTTAATATGCCACCCTTCCGGGAAATCGTCCAGTTATCTTATTGTTAGTTCTGCGGACTGATTATTGAGATCTTGATAGACAAAGCGATTGACAACGAAGAGGAAGAGACAATGAAACGACCCTTTGGTGGAAGCGGGTGATTGCGATATATTATATATCTATATATAATATTAGACCAACTAACACCAAACGATAGACTCTAAAGTCAGTTCATCATTTTTCCCTTAGTCTACAACAACCACCTCTTTCAACCAAAAGGATCGCACCATTTTCTTTTTGTCTCATTTGCCTATCGCTTTGTCTATCAATTTTATCAGTAAGTCCGCTGCTGAATAGCTTAAGCTCGAGGGCAATAAAAACGTCCTTTTTGCAATTCATCGTGTCTTTTACGAAAGATATTTCTAAGTCGCAAAATTTCCACTCATAAGTTGTATTTTAACCGGGGAAACTATTAAGTGTTTCTAACTGAAAATTGCACTGATTTTTCTCCCAACCACACCCTAAAATCAGTAAAACATACAAAATTATACAGTGATATTCTTGTAAAAAAACAAATGGTTTGAGTCTATTTTACAATTTTGGAATGGAGTCACATTCCATCAATACTCCCATTTACCGGAACTAGTTCCGAATTACGGAACTTTTAAGATTCTCCTGAATTTTTCCCAAAACTTTTGGCATTCCTGAAATGTTTCGCCTCTTTTGCATTTTTTGGAACTTTTTCGGAACTTTAGAAGAAATCTAGAAGGAATCACGGAACTTTTGACGATCATGGAGTGGGAGAAATTTGAACAAAAAAGTTCCGAATCTCGGAACTGTTGACGGACCAGGAATGAGAGCACTGCGTCACCGAAAAAAAAGTGAAGTTGACTTAACATTCTGGATGTAAACAAAGTGTGCGAGAACTTACAAAATGCTGAATTTACTGCTTCAGCAGTTACGTTAGCAATGTCAAGAAGTAAAACTAATTGCCGTAGTGGGTAATTTAGCATTTTGTGAGTTTTTGCACACTTTTTTTGCATCCAGAATGTTTAATCAACTTCACTTTTTTTTTCGGTGGTTCCTTTATTTGGGAACGACGACTTCATTACCTTACAGCTGAATGACACTATATCCTAGTGCTCCATCTGAAACTGTGCATAGTTACAGTTCTTACACCCGACACCATCCTCCTCCTCTTCTTCATTTAGACTGCGGAACCCCTCATCATTGAAGCTACCGCCCTCCGCACCTCCAGCCGAGGGCCCGTCGTCATCGAAGCTCCTTTCCGCCTCCTCCATGTGCTTCTTGATCTCCTCCAACCTCCTCTCATCGGTCGACGCCTCGCTCACCAACGGCGACGCCGAGGGCTCATCCTCCTCCTGCGCGAAGAGGCTCTTGAAGAGCCGCGAGGGCTCAGCGCGCTCTGCCGGCGACGGGAAGTAGAACTCCGGTTCCGAGTTGGACGAACGGTGATAAGGGGCCGAGGCCGAGGGGGACTCTCCACGTCGCGGAACGTCGTGTTTGATGTGGGTGCTGAAGCCAGCGACGTCGCCGCCGGTGGAGAAGGAGGAGACGCTGTAAGCGGGGCCGCCGCCGCCTCCTCCGCTGTCACCCGAAGAGGAACCAGGGTAGGTTTTTACAGGGGCGAAGTTCTCTTCGGAGTCGAAGCCGGGGAGATCCTCGCGCTTCTTCACGGCACCCACGAATTGGCTGCTCGAGGAGGAGGACTTTGCTCCGCTGCCGCTTGGACCCGAAGCTGGGAAGCTCTGGAAAAAGGAAAGTTTCATATAATCATACTCTACGTATAGTATGGGATCATAAAAGTAACGCCTAAGGTGCTGCATGGACTACTAGCGGTCAAGGAGTGTAGCCCCCAAATGTATTAAAAAAGAACAAAATACAAGGTGATCCAGGGCTAAACGGCCAGACTGCAGGAGCGTGTTCTATAGGTCAAAATAAGACTTTTTTGTTGTATAAAGTTTTTTTTTTCCAAAAGTGCCCCCAGTCGGAGCTACCCCCCCCCCCCCNCCCAACGGAAAGTAAATAGTATTTCCTGAATTTTGGCAACGGTTGTGAACCAGATCTCATGAAAATTTGTACTCCCGTGTACTTTTCAGCGCTCAGCCGATAGGCAGCGCTTTTTGATTTCGACTTGCCTCTGAGTACTAGTATACTAGTGCTAATGCGTTTAAATGGCGCACCAGCTCATCGATGTGTAGGCTTTTTTGGAGGAGGGGGGGGGGTCCATTTTTAAAATAAATAAAGCTGTGAAAACTGTATTTTATGCTTTTAACGTAATGCGCATGTAGTTTCGATCGTTTGTCTATAAGAAAATTTCTTAGCGGTAGAGTAATTCTTATCGAAATTGATCGTTTAACTCAAATGAAGCCTAAGAAAAACGCGCCTGATGAGCTCAACGGTGAGCTCATTTTCGGGAAACAAAAATACGCGTTTACGGTTTCCTTGGTAACCTTTGTTTGCTATCAGCTGATGTTTTATTTCCATTTCCCAGCCAAGTCGACGGAGTTTATACGTCCTTTCTTCACTAAATACATGTACTAACACCTGAGCGCTTTTCTAATACGACAATATTAGAACTTTCCCACTTGTTATGTCCAGAATTCATGAAGAATTTAAAAAAAAAATTGAAATCTCAATTTAGAGGAAGAGGTTGGGGGTGTTTCGGCTCCTGCGGTCTGGCCGTGTGAGCCTGGATCACCCGGTATAAGTGAATATAGAGTTTAAGATAAACAGTCATATCCACATTGCCGTTCTTCAAAATCCTATATTTTATTTTAATTTTTTGAAAGGAAACCTGCCAATTTAGCCTCAAACTTTGTGGAAATAACTTGCATATTAACCACATATAACCCAAAAAAAAAAAAAAAAAAAAAAAAAAAAAAAAAAAAAAAAAAAAAAATGAAAAAAAATTTAAGTGAGAGATATTGGTTGAATTCCTTCCAAAACCTTAACGTCCTCGTAGTAGAAAAAAGTTCAATACGACACGATAAAGATGTCTTCTTTAGTAACTTCAACCGAATATTGTTGGATCTTTATCGTACAAAATATTGTATCGAGACGTTATGAAGGCGCAAGAAGCTGAGTATTTTCTAGCTCAGCATCCAGCCTCCTAGTATGCTAGAGCTGCTCAACCCTGTATGGCATAGCGTTACGAATTCGTAACAACGTATTTTTGGGGTTTCTAAAAATTGAATCTATCTTCTGTGGCATGATTTTGCAAATTTTCATTAGTTTTCTCTTTTTTCGAATAACCGATTCCCTAAAATTTAAAATTTTGAGAACAAAATTGGTACTCTATGTTTGTATGCAAGCTAAAAAAAGGATAGTGTCCACCAGAATCTACGATCTAAAATTAATTCATGCCGAAGAGGGTTAATTTTTGCAAAATTTCATTATGAGATAGGAGCCAAAATTTCTCTGTGGTCGAATGCAGTGTATTTTTCATCGAAGATGATCTTTTCGCTAGTGACCTTGGACTGCTGGAGCAAGAGCGTGTTTTCAGAATGAGCTAAATAAATCAATGCACCTCTTGATTTTTTCTGAGTGTTGTATTGATGCATACCGCATTAATTTTTTCAAGATTTTATGTAGACCCGAACCAAATGTTACATTATTTTTGCGCGTCATGCCGTCTCGATTGTTACGTAGAGACCACGACCAGGACAGACATCAGTGCCTACCTCAAGTGCGGGTGCTAACCACAACGCAGCACGTACACAAGTGCTTACGGATGCAAGGCGTTCCTTTCCATCCTTGTCAGATTGAACGCCAATATTTCCTTACGTAAGCCTATGAAAGTAAGATTTGTATGATTGCCTGTTCAATTTTTCAATATTTTCTTTCCGTATCGAGATGAGAAGTGTTTTTAAATTTAATATTATGCACTCGTAAAGGGACTTCCTAGGAAGCAACTATGATGTAAAAAACCGACCGAAAGCAATTATTTTATTATTATTACGAGTGTTAGGTCAAAAGTATTGAAAAAAAAAAAAAAAATTAACGGGTTATGTAGACATATCGTCCGTTTCTATCTCAGAGACCAAAAGTTCCGGGCGCTTAGAGCCGTACTTTCGACTGTTCCGAGTGAATTATGAAAATTAGTACCACTGGATAATTCGAGTTCATAGGTTGGCAGCCTTTTTGGGCCCCGAGAGCTACATGACCTGATCAAACTTAACCTCCAAATTTTCGAGTTTTCCATGCTCTCCCTATAAAGATACTCAAGTTTTAACTATGTACATTGAAAATTGAAAATTGTGCAGCACTGGAGAGGGTCCCATTCGGACTGCTTTTGTCATGCAAGAGGCGCAGGCCGACTCCGACGGAGCGTTGTTCGGCGGCCGGTGGAAAAATATCGAAATTTCGCAACATGGAAGGAATGGCAATGCCCAGTGTCCAGTGTCCAGCCAAGGAGCACCGACCCGCACACGTTTTGCTCAACGCTCGCCGATGGACGGCGCGTGCGTGCGACGAACGTGAGCAAATTGCGCCAAAGCGAGGAATTTTTGGATCGAGAAATGGTGCAAGGAATGACACGCGCTCATTTTGAGAGTGACCTACACCGTGTGGTAAAATCCGCCTGAACTCGACTCCACTTCCACCAGAAATCTTTAGAGTACCTTCATAGGGAGAGTATGGACAACTCGATTCGTGTAGCTCTAAGGACCCAAAAGGGCGACAACGTTAAAACCGAAAATCACTAGAAAAGTGCCGCTGTGACCTATGCATTAGAAAAATTAATCAGTAGGGCCGACAGCGCATTTTAAACAAGCATTTTGAAGGATTAATACTTTGAAACTGAGAAAATGTATGCGAAATCAAAGTTTTATACGTGCTTTTAAAATTTTTGATCAGTGTACCTACTCTCGGAGTTTAAATTAGTACCACTGGGTAATTCGAATTTGGCTGCCCTTTTGGGCCCTAAGAGTACATTACCAACCTCCAAATTTTTGAGTTGTCCACTCTCCCTATAAAGGTACTCTAGAAATCTTTATTTAAGTGAGCAAGTCATACCAAAATGCACCCATGCTCGTGGAAACAAATTTTGCAGGGCACTTCTAGGACGCCTTGTTAATGTTTTCTTCTTCAAATTTCTATTTGAGAAAGCCAGGGCTCCTGTTTTTCGAGTGGAAATTTAATCATGTTAAGCACGAGTAGTGATCACCATTGAGACAATGAGAAATCCGTACGTCTCAAAAATAATTTCAATGAGGAAAATATTAACAGGTCATTTCCTTGGTGCACCTGAAAATTTCTCTTCCTGATTAAAATCAATTACTGCGAAAAAGTCCGATCTCCTGGAGCGTTTTAAAATGTCCCAACGGGAGGTTGCTGTTTGAGAAAAAAAGTTCGAGTCCGAGGCTCCTCTTTCCCCCTAAAATTTTGAGGGGTCCAAAAAAGTGGTTTAATGGACCCAACAATATCTCCAAAGATTCGTTTCAAAATATAAATTAGATAAAATTATAGAGGTGCGGTGGACCAGACTTTTGGGACACCCTCTACAGTAATTGAGAGACTCAAACGCCGAGACAGGAAAGTAAAACAATGCTTTCGATCTACTGTCTTATTATAATCAACTCGCGCGATAACGTCATGTGTCCAATACAGCATTTCAGAATTCATATGGAGTGTTTTTCATTGTAACTTAAAACTAAAGTTGGTCTACAAGACATTAATACTGTGAAAAACTTTACGTAGACTCCCGCGAATGTCTTGGTAAAGCTTTTGTTGAAAAAAAGATATCTCGGCGCCATCAATTCATGGGACACATAAAGCTGTATGAAATGTTGAATTTGACGACCGTTACGTATACTCTTTTCTTAAAGTTGTTGTTCCCTGACTGACAAAGATATCATGCGACAATGAAACTATTTAAAGAGTAGTTATTTCCACTGAAGATCCGATAGTATTGATTTTTAAAGCTTTACATCTAGATCCCTTTACACTCTGCAATTTAATTTTCCAAGTCATGAAATATATTCGTCGTTATATTTAGTGGCATGCCTCCTTCGAAAAGAATCCATTAGACTTTTTTCTTGACTTGCAGTATTGACTTGTAGAAGAGGGACCCCCCCCCTCCCCCAAAATAAGAATTTTTTCAATTTATTTTCCAAGTAGAGCCTGTTTTCCTTGTTTCTTCACTGTGCCTAACTTCAAGAATTCTCAATTAGATAAATCCTAGAAAGATCTCGCAAAATAGATGTTTTGAGACCAATGGCAGCTTCAAATGGTATTATCTACCTGGAAAAATATACTTACGTAAACAATCTTTGTGCTTTCAGTAAAATATTGTAAAGTTGTCAACAAGCATACTGTGCTGCAAACAGCCTGCAAATATGAGAAAATATAAATCGTAAGAAATAAATTATGGATGGATGACAGAGGGACAGAATATTATGATAGTTGGAGAGAGGTTGAATATGCATAAAGTTAAAACTGGTAGAAAAATGTATGAAGAAGTGTCCGTTTCGAACCAATTTTACCTACATTTTCTCAGATCATTTTTTTCCCTTTTCTTTAGTCCATTAAGCATATTTTTTGATTTTACTAAAGGTGCACTTTTAATAATAGTTTCACTCGATCAGGACATATTTTTAGGAAAAAATGGACACAAAAAGAGATATGATCGAATTCCGAAGTTGAAAATATTTTAGTCTACTCTCAGGGGCATCAAGTGAGAAGAATAGAGGTTCCTCCTACATTTTAAACAAGCGGCCTCACGTGGAAACAGATTCATCCAATTTTGATCAATTATAAAAGGGCATCCGTCGCAATTGTTAGACCTCTCACCCTCCTAAAATGTTGCTGAAATGCCCCCACTGCAATTTTATATTTCATTATTTTCTAGATGATGTATATCTAAAAAAAGAGAATCTTCAGGAGCAACGAAAATCTCTTCAAAGAACAGCGGTAGTTTATTACTTGCGGTAAATAATCAATCGTCTTATCTGGACTCACAACTCCAAAGAAAAGTGCAAGGGTATGACTCTATTTTTGAATTCCCTGGTTGAATTGAAATCAATCTTGTCACGTCAAGACATTGCTAAATAATTCAGAAAATGATGATTCAAATATGGAAGAATCATTGCATATGAATGATCGATTAAGATTTTCTTGCAAAAAACAGTGACTACTTTGTTTGTATGCTTTAATTAACAACGGTAGGAAAAGAAGAGGAGGAAGAAGGAGGAAGACAATGAGGAGGAGAAGACAAATTAAAGACAAAAATACCTGTTAGAAAGGTACTGCAAATAAAATCATGGCATCAGAGGGCTAATAAAAATTGCCTTCACTTCACAGTGATACCACTTGTCTTCGGCTATGTATGAATAGTGGCCTATCGGCACTCTTTGCTACACAGTTGATGTTTTCATATTTTATCTTCTTTGTTTTGACAATATGGATCATTTTTATGATTTTTTGAAGTAGAGTCTTAAATTTAAACTGTTTCACGTTATTAAAACCTCACACCACGTATAAATGTATTTTACCCAATGTAGAACGATTCTCTGTGTGAAGGGAAGAACGTTCTCAATATATATCTCTGTGTTGCCACAATAATGTCCTTGCACGTACATTCTGATCCTCATCATTGAAATATTGACTTATTTCGTGGAGACGTGTGCGCGTCTTTTCATTAAAATATTTTCTTTCCTAAATAATCATGTAGCGCAAATTGTAAGAAATGAGAAAGACGTAAAGTCTCTGTTCATTAGGATTGCATTTCTTACAAAAAAACGGCATGTGACCGTTTTTACGAATAGGATCGATAAAAAAGTACCCATACTATTACCAATTGACAAAAGACAGCAGCTTTTTTAGTCGGACCAGAGATACGAGAGAAATGAAATAAACTACTAATAATATGGTCTGTCCTAAATAGTTCTTCTACTCTAATTTCACGACAAATGGGATTAAATGCAAGCATCAAAGTCTTTACAATACGTGAGAGAACTACTACATCTTCAAAATGAATTCTTCGATGTTAAAAAAAGTGCGAACAGAAAATATGAGACAGAACAATCTCTTTTATGAACCTAAAAACCTAAAACCTTGTCTGGATTTGTATGGTCAGCTCCACTATTTTTAAAACAAACTAATAAAATTTTGGAACGAGAGGAAAAATTTAAATAAAAATTTATGATTCCCAAATTGTAAATATACCGTCCGTTGCCAATTTCCGAATTTACCTGCTATCAAAAATGTATTCATTTCGATCAAATCACGCGAATAGATAAATAATAAACAATGTGCATAATGAAATTAAATAAGATCGCAGAAAGTGTTTAATCCCTCGAACCATGAGAATTTTGGAGTATAAAACATTGGTACTCACATTGATGGGGTGATGTCGGCGAAACATGATGAATTATTATGGGAGACAGCGGTCAAGCACTGGATCTTATAAGCAACCACACCATTTCCTTATTGCTGTCATTCGGCGTAGGCACTAAACGTTTACGTTTTTCCCATTTCCCCCTTCTTTATCACCGCCTTCATTTCTCCGGCTTAGCACCGCAGCCAGAGACCTAGATCGATCATTGTTCTAACTCTTTCATTTTCCCAGTGCCCCGGTTTTTAATCAACTGCGATAGTCGCAACATACACAAGATGGATTTATTTTCTCTAAAAAAAAAACTGAAAATCTTTATGATTAATTTTAAGATGATGATACTGATTTCTTAAAGCACTGTAGATTTGCATTTTTGAAGATTAATATGCCAGAAAGTAGTATTTAACGGCACGTCTGCATGCCACACCAGGAAAATGAATCTCGCACAACATTTTCTCTAAAATAGTTTTTCATTTACGCCGTCAAAAGTATCATTGATGTTTGAGCTTAGATGGTACAAACACAGAGGTCCATCCATCCATCCATTTTTGACCTGGGAAATGGCACATCAAAAACTCAAACACTTGCTTGAAAACGCTTTACTATAAAATAGAAATAAGCAATTCTAAATGTAGACGTTTTTCTCAAAATACAGAATGATTGCATAAAGGATACACCGAATTCTTTTGCCACACGATTTAGTTCACTGAGAAAACGTCATGTAATCAACGTTCATTAAGAACATATCAATTCGATTTAAATACTTATAAGTCTTAGGTGCCGATCGATTTTATCTCTACCTATTGATTGATTTTTTACTTGGTGTCCATCTTTTCCAAATCGGCATATTTTTGAAGAGTTCAAATTAATAATACTATTAGCACACTTACATTCGACATAAACATAGCTTCATTCCAATATTGCAAAATTGGCCTTGACAGTTCAGTTTTTTAGAGAATAAACCTGCATAGTTTATGCCAAAAATTTGTCTGATTCCAGCATCAGATTAGAAGAAAAATCAGTGAAAGTTTCATTCAGAAATTGTCAAAATTTCCCTGGTAAAAATTAAATTTGCGCGAAAAATCGGACGATATTGAAGTTCAGTTACGCTCTTTTATAAGAAACACGACGAATCGTAAACAGGGTCCTTCATTTTTCCTCCCTGGAAAAATGTAAACCGCATTATTGACTTGAGCTGCACAATATAATAACGATGTTTCAAAGTTTACTGCACTAACGGAGTAACCTGAGTCTTGCCCCAACCGTTTAATCAATCCCCGAGAAACTGCTGTGTCATTTCTTACCTTGTCGCTACAAGACGAAAGCTCTTACACAAGTTGCGTTCTCATAACGATCAATTTTTGTCTCGAAAAATACTCTTCGGGCGACCGATTACTCTTTGGTCACCGACCATCTAACAGCTACAACGCGCAATAGGCTGCATGCGATGCCCTTTGTCATGCTGAGGAAAAACACGGTAAGAGCAATCAAACATGGCCGAATTTTTATCGACGAAATATTCATTTTTGAGGAGCGTAATGATTATTTTAGTGAACATTCTCAGAAACGCGAAAAATCACACCGCGAATGAAATCTTCGAATAAATTAGAAGAAAAATATCCGCCAATTTTGCATCAGCTTTATAGTTTGTTTGTGAAAATTTGAGAACGTTTGAGGGCCCATTGGGCGTTCTTACTTGGCACAACAGCTATGCAATTGTAATGTTGAGTCGCAATATTTGTAATAATGGCTCTAATTCGCGGATGACCATTTTAAGGGTTAATAAGGGGCTGTGCCGGCTAGGTTAGCTTCAGGAAGAGCTCGCTAAACTCTAAGTAAGAGGTCTTGAGTTCCAATCTCGGTAAAGATGACAAATTTGCACTTTAAGACCCACGCGTACGGGGGAACATCTGATTTTTATCTAAAAAATCGTCTTCTGAAATCTCAATCTCACCTGTGAAATCACCTGGGACACTCTGTATGGGAATGTAATTTTGCTAACTTTAACTCGAAATTAAATTGCATATGATTAAAATTTGCACTAGAGAAAAAACATCACCTCTAACGGCCAATGAGGTGCTCTTTGAATTGCTCTTGAATAATCCACAATGTCAGTTTTCTATAATATTTCGAGAATATCAGTCTTTGATCTTTTAGGAACACTGTCCGTAAGTACAAGCGTAACTTCACATAGAATGAAAAATGCACCGTGGCACCGACAATAAGACTACTGAACATTCTTAGAAAGAGATCTCTCATAAAATAATCCGTCCGAGAGGTTTAACAATCAATTATTCATCTCTTTGTATCAACTTTACGTAATATCTCATCGATGCTATCACTGTCACTTGCTTCGATTTGGATTTCTTACAGATTTGACTGATAATTCAAAAGTATACGCTTGAATGAATACGTGATTTGTTTACATATTTCGAATGTATTAGTTTTTTACCACCTTTATTAACGTGACAAGCTCAAGGTACGATTTTTTTTCACCGTTTTTTTAAACCCAGATTTGAACAAACAGGTAAAAATACTTTTTTAAACGGCTGATAATAAATTTTACATCCTGACATCGTCGCTTGCTCAATACAGAAGCTTATTAAAGCAAGACCTTGCAGATCAAATTGCTTTTAAAGACGGAATTTCGTAAACAATTTCATGAAAGAGGGTAGACTTTAAAATGTTTAGTTAAAGCTTGACGGACCTACTCTAAACCCTGAAAATTAAAGGGTTTTATTTTCTCCACCGAATTCGAAACACAAAAATACAGCTGACCACAAGCCCCATAATGTTCATAGCATGGATTAAAATATACGTTCCTTCCGGTTGGTGGACCCACAAGGCAATGATTATGACACTAATAGGCTTGTGACAGCTGCATTTAAAGCACTAATTTGCATTTCTTAGTCGATTAAAATGTGACGTAAATTTTGATTCTGATGATTCAAGCGAGTAAATGAAATGCCACTGTACGAGTGCTCCATTATTTTTGGTGCTTGCGCGTTGGTTGGCTGCGTAACCGTGCCCGAAACAACTGAGGATGGTGCACTTATGGTTCAGACGCCAACAACACCTCTGCCAGACCTCCAGACCTCACTAAAGAAGCACCGTATTAACTTGAGTAGAGTTAGACCAGGAACATTTACACTTCACGTGAGCATCTGTTTAGCCCGTTTTATTATTTTAATTTTAATTTTTTATTCAGTTCCCAGTTTGTGGATAATTCAGAGGCTGATAATTTGTACTGCCTTTCAACAGTTTTAACTTCGAAAACCACAGTGCCAGTTTTAATACAGTGCCTTATTTCTGCTACGTATGAAGGGTTTTAATTGAGTACCTATTGGATAGGAATGTATATAGGGGGTGGCCACATGGGCCGCGGCCCAAGGCGGCAAATTTAAATGTAGGTATGAAAAAAAATTACAAACGAGGAAAGGCGACAAAATCTTTCGTATCCTGAGAGTACTGTAATTTCTAATTTTGTCATTTTGCGGTAATGTAAGAGACGGTATCTTTAATTAGTCGAGTAATGAGAGAAACCAGACACGTAATTTGACCTAGAGAGAGTAAAGAGGACAAAAACTTGAGATGAAAAGGGGAAGCCCTCGGCGCGGCGGTCGGCATGTGGCACATATTAGCGCCCACAAGGCTGCATGAATACTTCACGCATTGCGTCAAACGTAGTGCGATCAGCAGCGGTTGGCGTGAAACGCGTGGCGCCTACAAGACTAAATGAATACTTCATGCATTGCGTCAAAAACAGTGCGGTCAACGCGGCACGGCGGTTGAAGTTGAAATTATTAAACCACATTAATGTTTGTTCTTTCATAATTTATTTGTTGATTTCTTATAAATTTAAGGTCTTGTCCACACAGAGATAGATTTACGGAACTTAACTTTCGCGCCAAGTTCCGTGAATTTTTGCTAATAGTCTTGGAAATGCTTTCGTAAAAAATAGATCCAACACGAGTTAACGCGTCTTATGCACCCCTCCTCCTCTGGCAGCACGTTCACTTGATAGTTTTTATTGATGCTTCAGAACGAATGAGAAGGAGGCGGCAAAATACAAGCGGCCCATGGACGGAAAGTGGGTAAATCCGGTCCTGGATACCTACACTAAAAGCCGTTGGAAAGCACGAAGAAAAGTCGAGGCCAAGTAAAATGTCAGTCTCGATGACGGGAGTTTTCTTGTCACAACAAAATGTTTCTAACTGTTGCGGCTTGACATAATTTTTCTGCACAGCAAAACGTAGTAAGGAAACAGTTATATTTGCTGCGATAAATTACATTTTTTCTCAAAGAAGCCAAATCATAACAACCTTTCATAATTTCACCGATCCGTTTGTTTGATCTCGGCTAATAGATATACAAGAATATTAGCAAGTTTTACTTAAGTTCCGTAGGGACAAATTTAGGATTCACCGAAAGTTCTACAGCAATTTGGGATTCACCGTTGATTTTTTCAGGAAACCATTTCGTGCTGTTGAAACGGTTACTATACACAGTAATTATGTCGATCAAATGATACTTGGAATTCATAACATGTAACTAGCCGCACATTCTCATCACACGTTTATAACATCATATTCCTGCAAACAAATGATTCCCCAAACCCATCTACGTCTGTGACATAGCCAGCCAGAAAATTACCTTCACCTTTACCCTCTCGTCACTCTCAAGGCATGTTTGAGGTCAAACAGTATCCAGTGTATTTCCTAGACCTTTAAATCCCTTTTACTCACAATGCGTGGCTTTTCCTCTATGCAGATAGGAACAAGAGGTACGAACAAAAATTCCAGTCCATCTTTGCGGAATTTTTGTGCTTGTTTTCGATAAATTGTTGATGGTTTCCAGATGATGTACGCAAATAAATCTGTCACATTTGGTCGTGAGTTCACACCGAAAGAATTAGAAATGATGCCTACCTCCATGTACTACACTTGTCACGAAGAAGCTTTCCACACTTTAGTCGTAGTTGGTATACAATTTTATGTTCTTCTCATACCTCATGAGATTGCATCTTCAATCTTGTGGGATTAAAATTCAAAATTCATGATATCTAAAAATTGACAGAAAATCGAATTTCATTGCATGGAATATTTTTGAGTTCTTACTAAGTGGTAAATAGCGGTGGTAGTAACGTCATTCTAGCTTCGGAATCAGATATTTATTATATATTTCTTCTCTTTACATGCTTTTGTACATAGACACTAATGCTCAAAATACATTTACAATTAGTTTTACAAATAGCGATTATATTATTCGTTAATAATTTTTGGTATGTAATTTAAAAATGGTAATTAAAAAATGTTATCCAATTGTTTCATTCTTGAGAAAATTCACAGAGAAAAACTGAATCGTAGCTCTAACAGTCATGTTGATGTTTAAGTCATACCGAGATTCTTGGTCTAGATTAAAAGTTTACTGATGTGGCTCATAACTATTTCGGTTCTGATAACAACGTAGCGTCTTTTTCAGGACCAAAATAAACGTCACCACGTATGCATTAACCTAGAATAAAAATTTTGGTTGAACCTTTAATCAGTCATAATTTATATTAATTTTTCCCTGCGTTGAATCTTTGTAAATATAGATAAGATTGAGCACTTTGATACTTTTCAGGTCTTGATGTTCCAACTGAGAAAAATCACACAATGCGTGAGTGGGTACACTGGATACTGGTCAATATACCAGGATCTAATATCTCTGAAGGGGAGACGATAGTGCCTTATCAAGGACCTGGATGGCCTTATGGAAACGGTTAGTAGCTGTAATCTAACGTAGAAATGGAAATTTTGAAAATTTGCAAAGAAAGTATCTGATGGAGGGATATCTACATTGACAAGTTGATTTTATTAAGCTGACTACATGAAGCTCTTTGATATCTATTTACTCATACTTAGGTTGGTTTAATGATAAAATATAATGTTCGCCGTCAAAAAAGAAAGTTTTGAAAGCACCTTAAAAAGTAAGAATACATAACATTGATCTGCATTCTGCGCAACAATATTTAATTTAGAAAACACTCGTTCTTTCGAGAATTCACAATAATTTTTCGATATGAACTTTTAGTAGGCACAGTTTGCCTTATATTTTGCAAATATACCTTTATAAATACGCCAAAAAGAGAGTAAAATTAAAGTAGAAATGATGATTATTAAATTTCAACATGCCAAATTTCAAAATGTCTTGTAAAAAGGAGACGGTGCCGGGATGGAGAAAAGTGAATTGGGTTGTGTTTTTTTACATGAAGAAGTAAGTGCGTCAAAATCACCACCACATATTTGTGAATTAGAGGTCGTTTATCGTATGTTAAGACAAAATGCACTATCTGACTAGCATAAAATCAGCACCATCTCAATCATCAGTTAACATAGTGTGCATTTGGATTAGTGCAATGATCAAATTTTGACTTTTTGTCTTAAGACAGGATGAGCGAGATTTAGATACTTCTGTTTCAGGTGTTTTAGAGGCCTACATTTTACTTGAAAATGACCTTCACAGAAAAATATAATTTTGTTACTCTTTGCAAGAAATGCAATTATGTTAGTCATTTGAATCGTTTCAGGGCGTCCAACTGAAAAGTAGGTAGAGTGATTTCAAAACTTTTTATAAAATCAGGACAAGATCATCTCCCACAGTTTTAAGATGAGATGTCATTCTCGATCTGTAAAAAATCGTTCCATCAATAATGATAAATTCTAGAATATGGCCACAACGTTGGCTATACAAATTGAGACTGGATATCTGCAACACCAAGATTTGACTCTCTGTTTCGTCTTTTTTTCAACAGGTTCTCATAGAATTGTATTCATGATCCATGTACAGCCCTGGCCACACAAAATAAGTTTCTCCGAAAAAGCTCATGTCAACAGGTACCACTAGTTTTCTTTCGCCGTTTTTATTATTACTTGTGTATGGTGATTGAGTTATTTTAGGCGGCAATCATTACAAATTGACATTAAACTAAACAAATTAAGTGAGCAAAGTCACTTCCCTCGATAATCAGAGAACAAGGGTTACAATATATCAATCTACTGTCATAAAATTGAGTAGAGTGGAGCTGTACTACTTTAATTTATCTCTGTAATTGTTATCATTAATTCTACCGTAGTAACGCGATCTTCTCCTGGGTCTGTAAAATGTTTTGCAACATGCGTCTAATTCTAACCATGTTTTTATATCTTCTGGAGTGTGTGGAAAATTATTGCAACTTTTCACGATTAAATATTTTATTTCTTTAGCCCTCACCGATCAAAATTTGACTCCTGGAGGTTTGCCGAGAAATACGACATTGGATTTCCTGTTGCAGTTAATTTCCTAATCTGTAAAACGGATTGGCCAGCTCATGGTGGATGGACATAATGTAAAAGTTATTTTTATTCAATCATTTTATGTACGGTAAGAGCCAAATTATAGCATCTTGGAACACGCTAAAGTGAAATGTAATATTTATAGGACCAAAAAAAGGAGATTTTTTCCATTCCACGCTGTGAACTAGATTAATCTTTGGCTGATTCACCATATCTTCGATAATAAAACAGAATTAAAAAAGGAAGAATGATGTAAACAAATAAATGACCAAAACAATTGCTACGATGTGAAAGAATGAACATTTAATAACTCACATTTCGCCTGTAAATAGCACATCGCTACAAGCAACCGTGTATGACTGTAAGAGAACGTTTGAAGTGAAGGCGCTCTTAAATTATCGTAGTATACCGTTGTGTCAATAACTTCGGTTTCTAAGTTAGCCTTAACGTGTGTAAATTCAAGAATTCAATTACAAATTATTAGAAACATTGTATAGTAATGTTGCAAATCTCATCCTAACGCCATAGTCTGTTGTTCACAATGAAGATGTTGCATGTGTGAGGAATTTGCGATTTGACTGTTGATTCTTATATAAAAGTTCGCGAGAAACACGATGTGGCCACTGGTTTTCTCTAAAATTAGTTACCCAAGCTCAAAAACAGCTCTCAAGTTGAGGCCAAAACGGAGGGGATATCCCACGCTATTTTGAGAGTCCACGTCTACATATCAAAACAAACTCTCCATGCAAAGATAGGGAGCAAATACATTGAAAGGGCTGCCACTTTATTTGAGGACTCTAAAACTGAAAACACGACATCACCGCTAATGTATTTGCTCCCTATCTTTGCATGGAGAGTTTGTTTTGATGTAGAGGTGGACTCTCAGGATAGCGTGGGATATCTCCTTCATTCTGGACTAAACTAGAGAGCTTTTTTTGAGCTTGCGGGAGATGATTTCAGAGAAAACCAGTAGCACCATCGTGTTCCTCGCGAACTTTTACATAAGAATCAACAGTCAAATCGCAAATTCCTTACACATGCAACATCTCCATTGTTAATAAGTAGTCATGTGTCAGTTAAATAAAATCAACTTGTCGATGTAAATATTCCAAGATCACATAATTTCTTTGCAAATTTCAAAAAGTTCCATTTCTACTCTCGATCACCAACTCACCGTTTCCATAAGACTATTCAGGTCCTTGATAAGGCACTATCGTCTCCCCTTCAGTGATATTAGATCCAGGTATATTGACCTGTATCCAGTGTACCCATTCACGCAGTGTGTATGATTTTAACCTTGCCTTTGTACTCCACGATGATATCGATAAATGGTCATGCATATGCCCTCCCTAATTTTGTTGGCAATTATTGAGGGTTCATTCCTGATTTTTCCCTCCATTTGTGAATTTCCCCCCTCAATTTATAACACAATTTGCCCCATTCTACATAGGTAGTACTGTTAAAGAAATGTTTCGTAACCAACATTGTTGTTCTAAAAATGATCCGAATACGTTTGTATACTCATCACATGGGATATTATATAAACCAGCAAGTGTTTGGTCTAAATGCTGCTTAGTGACACGTCTCAGGCGTTCATTAATATTCGTGGTGTTTTTTTACGAAATCCATAAGGACGACAGCTGGTAACGTCAATTCAAGTTATGTATGATGTTTGTGACCTTATAAGTTAAGTCCATAATATCGTAATGAACATCTTTAATGCAAAGATTTGAAAGAGAGCGCGTTAAACTTATCTGTTAATTCAATACATTTATTTCGCTTCTCGTGTAAACCTTGAATAATATGATTCGCTTGGAAATTGATGAAAGCCGGGAAAATCTTTAATTCCCTGCATTTAAATAGGAAAATTTTCTGACAAGATTTTAGCACCAACTTTTGCCTAACTTTTCAAAATCCTTTTAGGAACTTGACAACTCTGCAGCCATGTAACCGACGTACTTGCTGATAATAGATGGTGAAATAGATGGGGAATGGTGAGTTTTGTGGTGACTGTGTTATTAAAAAATGTCTTTCATGACAAAATTTTTCTCGCTTTGGAAAGTACAACCAAGTAACAAGTTTTTACATTTATAAAATTTTTTACTGTTTTTATTTAACTGAGGAAGGCTGAGTTTTCAGCCGAAACGTTTTGGTGATATTTAGGTGAAAATTACCCCCCTAACCCGCCGGTCAAATTTTTATTATCGTTGATTGACTAAATAGGCTCCTATTTCGACTTTGCATCGTTTTATTGAAAGGGTGAGGAGAAGCCTCTAATTGTAAGTCAGACTATTTTGGATGTCACAAACGTATGGATTCTAATTTTATCCAAAAGTGTCTTACTTTGGCATGCCGGTTAAGTTCAAAGTTTAAATTTTGTCTATGTAGCATTCAAAACGCCTTAATACGAAGAGGAAAATTACAATAACGTATTTTTGTGCTTGCAGATTCAATGGAATATGAAGATTTTTACATTCTATTTTGCTAGGTTATTGGCGGAAGTTACTCGGGATAACTTAGGTAAAAAAAAAGAAAAAAAAAAGAAGAATAAGTAGAAAACAGAATATTGCACTTATAGAAAAGTTCGCTAGTTTGCTGCCTTTGATGTCCCCCAAAATGCCGCCTTTCATTTGAAGGGGGGGGGGAGGATGGAGGGGTGAGCAACAAAAACTAAGGGCTGAGCAAAGGTGAGCAAATGATTCTGCGTCGTTTGAGACCATTTTTAGGTCAATCGGACAAACATTACACGTTAAGTTTTTTGTGAGCTTGAAAGTTAGCGTCGTGTTTCTGGAAACGCAATTATTTTTCAACTTGAGGAAGAAAAATGGTCATGCAAATACCAAACTATTTCCATTTCAAAGTGTGGTTGGGCATGGGCATTGCACAACTCTTCCAGCTCTTAACTTTCATCTACGTCAAGTTCCAGCTCAGAGTGAGGGAAGATTTTCAAAAAGTGATTTTAAACACAGGAAACTAAAAGTAAATATACCTTAGATTGCACTTAAGATTTAACTTTAACTTGATTCAATCTAAATAACTAAATTATCTTAACGCAGATTTTTAGTTTTAGATAGTCTTACAAAATACTGTTATGCAAATGGGTGATTACATCGGTTGACTTCTTTCGAGTCTACGTCTTCCGTATTTATTTTGTCCGCCTGCTGCCGACTCCATTCCGAACGTCAATCACAACTGTGTTGTCATTCTCAAACTGGACGCGCCACGCATAATTGTTTTCTAGTCTCCCTCAAGGGACGCTGAAGATGCATTCAATTAGGACACTCTCTTCAGGGGAAGGTAACATTCTTGGATCATCCCATTTTATATATTTCAGTGATGGAAGAAACATGTGCACGGAGAAAAAAAACTCGTGCGTGGGACCCGAAGTTTAGGTCATATGGATCTCTGAGGTTTTCAGATTGAACATCTGAACACTTAAGGTCTAGCTGCCGAAGTTCGGATCATACATCTGAATCTTCAGTTCTTACATGTGAAGTACTTCAGATATGAGAACCGAAGTACTTCGGATGTGAGAACCGAAGTACTTCGGATGAGAGAACCGAAGTACTTCAGATGTAAGAACTGAAGTTTCAGATGTATGATCCGAACTTCGGCAGCTAGACCTAAAGTGTTCAGATGCTCAATCTGAAAACTTCAGAGATCCATATGACCTAAACTTCGGGTCCCACGCACGAGTTTTTTTTCTCCGTGTGGATGTTTAGCAGGGCTGTTGTAAAGGGAGACAGCAGTTAAAAGAAAGTTCATCCCTTGTACGAGATTGAAGAAAATTTATACATTGACAGAGTGACAAAAAGCGCGGAATTTATTTTCTATATCTCATTATTTCCGATGGACATTTTCACAGTTTTAGATTCCTGTCTCGAGATAATTACAAACGGAAAAGTCTAATTTTACCTGGGTGACCCACCTCTTTTTGCGTTGGCTACCTTCTTAGAAACCCAAAATTCGCATCATTATGTGAAGTACAAGTGTAGTCATAATCAATATTTCTTATCAATAAAGATTTTTCATAAGTATCCTTCCCTGGAGTTAGTATTATATTCTCACAACTTTCTGAATGATCCGCCAATTTAATTAGTTTATCATCTTTTTAGAGGTTTGTTTCCATGTATTGTGATGTAGAGCGTATCCAGTGAGCCAATTCAATATTCGAAAATTCATGATAAAGCACTGCTATTAAATGTTTATCCTGGTTTCTTTATGCAACTAAACAATTTTGTAGAATTACTCCTTAAATTGAAATATACTGACAGTAAAAAATAAGGGTCAACTATGCAAATGCTTCCGGTTCATACTAACTTATTGTCGAGTTGTCATTTATTAAGATTTTGAAGCTGTTGTTTTTGAAGTCATGTTTGTAGCATCATTCACATCATTATTATTCTGACACAAGTTGCAATGACTACAGGCAGTTTGGAAGCCTTCAGTATACGGTATTGCACTGCCTGCTTTGCGTCCCTCTCCCAAACGGGTTTTCTCCTCGCCTTGCTATCTCTCGGAACCATCTGTCTTTTGTATTATCTGAGCCGACCGCTGAATTTAATTTACGTAAGTAATTAAGTTCGTATCTCATAATCATTGTTAGTGCGTATGCAAACGCAAACGGTTTACGTAGTGAATGATCCACGCAGTTTAGTCTCCTAAACCATTAAAATGAACAATTTCTGCCTCGATTTTAAGGGATGCTTTATTAAGTTTAGAAATGATGATTTTCAAGTTATTTGATGGTTATTTTCGAAACAGAACTGTTGTTTGGAGGAAAAGAACCTTCAAAATTCTTCCATAGTTTGAACCTTTGATGGCCCCAATGGAAATACGAAGTTCATGATATGATGTATTTTCCTCGATTGTTTCCTCACAAGTTTTATCCCTGGATGTTGAAAACGGTAAACCATTTGCAGAGTACTTTTATAATTTTCGTGTTTATCCAGATGCAGTACATACTATTGAGTGGATTTTATTTTTCGCTGTTCTCTTTTATTTTCCCATACTCAGGACCTGACCGGAGCGAAGGGTGATAAATATTTCAAACTTCCCGCGAAAAATGAAGCGATGGCAATAGAGCACCTTAAGGGTCGATTGCAAAGGAAGTCGGGGAAATCTATTCCAGTTTATCCGAACGGATGGTTTGGTATACTCGAATCCTCGGAAATTGGCCGTAACGAGGTTAAATACGTCATGGCGTTAGGTAATTTCAGAATAAAATAAATTTAAGAATGGAGTGCATATCTCTGATAGGCGATAGATTTAACGTTGATCTGACACTCTAGGGTAATTGTCGAACTGAATCTCGATCGTTTTAAACGTCATTGTTATCATCAGATGTCCCTAAATCCCTCTGTTTCAGAGATCAATAAAAACCCTCAAATGTTTTTGAATCAATGAAAAATGTATTGGTCAGAGGGGAAGGGGGGATATGATGAAACTATGAATGGTTAACTTTCGTTTTTTCATAAGCAGAATGTTTGAATTGACGCTTAATATTCTAGTTAGGAGTTCATTTCAGTAAATTTCGTTGCACAAATTGTGTTCTTTGTGAAATTTCATTGAAAGAATTATGCATTGTAATGCGTAGATTTGCACATTGTCTGATTATCCATTGACCTGGTTACAGTGTAAGAATGGCCGTTTTCACGTACATTCGTGTTTTAGGCAAAAATGTTGCTGTTTTTCGCATGTCAGATGGAACAGCGCAGGTTGTCAGCCCGTGCTGCCCCCATTTACGAGTAAACATGGGTTTGGGAGGGACAACAAAGACGTACATAGAATGTCCTTCCCATGGGTGGCAACTCGATGGTGATACAAAAAAATGGAATAATATCCAAGGCGCCAAAAAAGGTAAGTGAACTCTGAGAACAGAAGAAAAAGCCATCGCTCTCATTTATGCAGTACAAAGAACCCTATGCATCTTAAATATTGCCTACGCGAGAATTTGAAGGTGATTTTCAAGAATATCTCATTCTGTCGCATAGGGCGAAAAATGCGCATCTCACAGCGGCCTGCGGTACGATATGGAGGGAAATGCGAAACTCGAAACTGCATCAGTCTTTACCTTTCATTTCACGCTGAATCCATTGAAGTGATGTTTGAGGGTCATAATATGTGTAAAAAATTACTAATGCCGTGACTTTGTCTGCCCGGTTCGGAACCCATCAAGCTTATTTGAAAAGAAATATAATTTTTTATATATTCTAGAATTTTGGTTTTTTTTTAAATACAAACTTTCCTACTCTAGCCATTCATCATACTTCGTAGGATGACCACAGATCATAGTCTCTCCACCGGAAGGACGCAATTCTCAAAAGCGCAAAACGAATTCGAGGCATTAATCAAATGATGCTCTAGAAACTTTATACCATCGCGATAAGAGGAACTACTTTGGTGGTTCAGCATCATTGTTCAGTTACTCGTTGATCACATTTTTTGGCGGAAAATTTTGAGATGGCAAAAATTTTAATGTGATGGGAAAACATGTTAGTGTGAGGGGAAAATTGTTGTTACTTTTTCAATTTAGCAATCATAAATGCACAAAGTAAGCTAAAAACTTCAAAAAGAATACCCACCAGTTTCCGAAAAACCCGATTCTTCAGAAAACGGAGATTTCTAGACAAAAATCTCTTGCGTGCTGTGTTTATGTTTGAAGGCCCATCGAGGCTTCAAAACTTTGACAAAATGCAAAAAGATTCCACAACGATTGTTTTTAATGTCAAGTAGGAACTAAGCAAGCCGGCTCCTTGCAATTCGATGGTCCTTTGCGTGGATGCGTGGTCTAAAAATCTCAGCTCCCATTTTATTTTTCTGAAAAAGAACAAATCAATATCATTCCTTGAAGTTTTCGAAGAGTTTTCTCAAAACCCAAAACGGTTTTTTCGACGGGTGCACCCGAAAGAAAGCGTATATTTATCTCTGGTTGCAACGTTATGCACCACTTTTTATGTTTTATTTTTGAAAAACGTTTTCAGAAAGCCACACACAGTTCCTCTAAAAAGTTTCCGCGAATTTACCTGAATGATCTCAACTAAAAGTATCGAAAATTTCAACGTAATATTTACGTTCGCTCTACTTTCTTTTAATACAACCAATGAAAAATTAAATATTATCCGAGTTTCTGGATCGTTACGATAAACATATTTTCCCTTTAATTATGGTAAAAACTGGAGCGGAAAGTTAAGAATGATGGCACGCAGTCGCTTATAGTCTAGTATGCGCTAATATGCGCCAACTGACCGACTGCACTGCGAATCACGCATTGCGAGGAGTATCCATGCAGTCTTGTAGGCGATAATATGAGCGGGCGTTACGCCGGCCGCACTGTTTGGCGCAATACGTGAAGTATTCTTAATGTCTTGCAGGCGCTAATATACGTTTAGCGCCGCCCGCCCGCCGCACTGTGTTTGGCGCGATGATTCGAACTCGCTTTAGAAGAATCATGGCATCGAATAGTAGAGCTTAAAAAGCGTATGTTTTTATCGACGCCAGACGAGCATTCCAACGTTGCCTCGTTTCTCCCGATTAAATATTTTTTTCGAGAAAAGTTAGGAAAGTCCTTTATACCCACGACCATTTTTCAATCTTCTCACTCTATTTATAAGCAGAGGGTAAGACATCGACGACCTGTCAACAAACTAACCTTAACTAGTGTTATCATAAAAATACGATTATTTTCCAACGGTTTTCTCCTTTGCCAAGCTTCTACCTTAAATGGGCCTGTTGCAAACTTTTGCTAGAGCAAAAATAAGAGTTGTTTCTTATAGATAATGCCTCAAAAATCACGATGAGCGCATCGGCAAAGTCTGAAATGCACTCATAACTTCACAGTCTGCGTAAGAAATTTGCGGTTTTTTGAGCTTCCCGCTTCAAAAGCGATACTACGGCACAGGTGAACATTTTGTAAGAGGAGTCGTTCCATCGTAAGCAATACTCATCATGGCCGACGCCAATCCGCCAAAACACGTGTGATGGGACGAGATAATACCTGAACTGGATTAGACCAGATAACAATCGGCGTGTTTTAACGTTCATGTTTTCCACGCCCGCATTGATTGACCTTGAACTCTCCTCGAATTACGCGCAAAACTGCGCGCAAGTGTCGGCCATGATGAATATCGCCGACGATGGAGCGACTCCTCTAACAAAATGTTCACCTGTGCCGTAGTATCGTTTTTGAAGCGGGAAGCTTAAAAAAACGCAAATTTCTTACGCAGATTGTGAAGTTATGAGTGCATTTCAGACTTTGTCGATGCGCTCATCGTGATTTTTTAGGCATTATCTATAAGAAACAACTCTTATTTTTGCTCTAGCAAAAGTTTGCAACAGGCCCATTAACTGCATTTTAAATTCCCCTTGAAGTTTTCGAAGAGAAAAACCCGTTTCTCCCCGAACAAAGAAGAAAAAATCACGGAAATGATTACGAACTGACGTTCAGGAGTTCACCATTTAAAAAATGAAGTGCGACGAGGAGTCTGCAACGTCGCAAACCGAATTACGTGCTCTGATTGTTTCACCGTCGAATGGAGATGTTGCATGTGTGAGGGATTTGCGATTTGACCATTGATTCTTATGTAAAAGTTCGCGAGGAGCACGATGAGGCCACTGATTTTCTCTGAAATTATCTTCCAAGCTCAAAAAAAGCTCTCAAAGTGAGGCCAAAATGGAGGGGATATCCCACCCTACCCTGAGAGTCCACCTCTACATCAAAACAAACTCTCCATGCAAAGATAGGGAGCAAATACATTAGCAGGGTTGCCGTGTTTTTAGTTTTAGAGTCCCCAAATAAAGTGGCAGCCCTGTCAATGTATTTTCTCCCTATCTAGGTAAGGAGAGTTTGTTTTGACGTAAAGGTGGACTCTCAGGATAGCGTGGGATATCCCCTCCATTTTGGCCTCAACTTGAGAGCTGTTTTTGAGCTTGGGAGATGATTTCAGAGAAAACCAGTGGTACCATCGTGTTTCTCGTGAACTTTTATGTAAGAATCGATGGTCAAATCGCAAAGCCCTCACACATGCAACATCTCCATTGGCATCATTGGCAGAAATTTTTCGATATTTTAAGTTGTCGTTTGAGAAAGCAAGTAAATATATTATTCCGATAATTTTGGTCACTTACAGTTCCGGACTTGGCGGAAGTACAGACTTTGAGGTCCGCAGAGGTGAATCACATCATTTTTCTTTGGTATCACGCGGAGAGAGAGGAGCCTTCCTACGAAATACAACCATTAAAAGAAACAACGAGTGAGGGCTACTTGTATATTGGTCGTTTTGAATGTTTAATAGATGCGCACATTGAGGTAAGAATAGATCAGGATCATTTGGAGTAAATGGACGGCAGGACGAGGAAATTATTATTACTGTTCATAAAACTTGAAAATTTGTGCGATACGAATAAAACATTTCACTGAAAAAAAAATCTCGGTGTATTTACTAAGAAAAGGGTAAAATTACCAAGAATTCAGGGTTCTATTTGATCCCAGTTTTTTCTTGGTAAAATTATCATTTATGGAATTGGTAATTTTACAGAGCAATCTCGGTAAAATCATTGAACTTTCTCGGTAATTTTACTGGACCTTGGTAAAAACGTCAATTTTTATCGACTATGGTAGAATTACCGAGATAAAATGGCAAAGTTACCGGGAATTGATTACCAATAAAAGTGGTATTCTTACCTGAAAAAAAAACAGTAAAAATGCCCGTTTTCAGGTAAGTTTACCAGTCTGTCTTGGTAAAATTACCAATAATTGGTAAAAAAAGTGAGATGGTAAAGGTACCAACGGACCTTGGTAAAAACGCCGAGAATTTTTTTTCAGTGTTGCATCGTAATGATACTCAAAACCCTTTTTCTCTGTATCTGAGTTTGATGGGTCAACATTAGGTGTGCTGTGTGCTATCTGCAACAATTTCTCACGAAAAAGACATTTTCACTTGGTAAAACTCATCCTCTTGGCTTCTTGAAGAAGAGGGAAACGACAGCCCCCCCCCTCCGGCTGGGATATGGGTCTCCGACAGGGAGGGAGGGGGTCCAAAAAATTACCATCAATTACGCCAAACTTGCATGTCTCTACCTCAATTTGTTACAGACGTGCCCTAAGTAACTTGTGAATAATCCTTTATGCAAAATTTCTGATTTTTGAAAGTTCGTTTTGTTTAATTTCCAGGACATGTTGCAAAATTCGGCTGACAACGAACATTTAGGTGTTCTGCATGCTTCTAAAATGGGTCTTGTGGGAGCTGACTTGGATGGCTTCTGCGGAGTAAATGGCTTTCGCTCCTAGCTAAAGTGACCCCAAAATCTTCTTGGGAGCCTGACGCAGACAATCCTCACATGTCGTGGAGTCGCTTTGAAGTTCTGGTGAAACTTTTTAAAAAGATTTCCTTTACGTCCAGAAAGCAATTAAAACATGTATGTATGAGGACTTGACGTATTGAATTTATTTTGCTGAAAGAAGAATAACACATTTTTTTTCTCATTTCCACCATATAACTATCACTGGGATGTACCTGACCACCGCAGTAATATAATTAGCTTTGGAAAAGTATTATATGAAAGGAAAGGTAAAATTATAAAATGGAAATATGAAATAGTAATATTTCCTCACTAGTATTTCATGGAAAGAACGATTTGTGAAATAGAGATTTCATTTCTCGACTTAGAAAGGAGCATCTTTAAAAGTGTGCGGTGGTTAACAGACGTTATGTAAAATACTGGCATCCAACTGTAACTCGAATTTTGGTCAGATTTTCAAAATTTCAAAATCCAAGATGGCGGGCATGGCCTGAAATGCTACGTCGGCTCCTGTTCGATGGATTTTCGTGATACTCGGTACTTGGGGGTATTTTTCGACGAGAGACTCGAATTTTTGGTCGGATTCTCAAAATTTCAAAATCCGAGATGGCAGGCGTAGGTAAAGTGGCGAATATGTTATTTTCTCATTATTATTATTATTATCATTTTATAAGTTAATAGCTATCAGGGGCGGCTTGCGAGTCGCAAGTTCATCGCGAAGCGAGGAACCGGGGATCCAGGAGCACTCCTCGGCTAGGTGTGACAACTCGCACAGCGTGCTGATCACGGCTAGTTTGTAATATTGTATGCTGAAATGATTCTAATCGTTGGACTCGTAATATTCTACCGTAGCCGCGGACTTTTTTTTTTGGTTTGTAATAACTCAAATCTTGTTTTCCAGATTGGACCAGGCTACATCGAGGTCACAACATTACTTGCAAAAGCCAAAGTATACGGGACTGTCTGTGTCACGCCAATTGGGCCACTTACAGTTCGGACTACCCTACGAGTATATGGGCGACCATCTCACATTCTCATGGGACGATTCATATTGAGATCATTCGGCAATATCGTAAGCGTCCTTCAATTAAAGATGCATGCTTGTAAGGAAAATTATTCTGCTGACGATAATATTTTAATGCTCAAAGCGCGCCCCATCCATTAGATTGGCCGCCCATAAATGACGCGCATTACTCTATATAAAGCTGCTGTTACCACTCACTCTGCCCCCCCTCCCCAGAGAAAAATTGGCCGAAGCGATTTCCTTTAAACTTGGTACACGCTTAGCTATTGTCGTGAGGAGTTGATCAAAATTATTTCGATTCCAATACGAACGATTGCAAACGAAGCAACGATTCCAAAATAAGATATAGGTATGAGAAAAACTGGAATTATTTTGTTTTATTATTATTATTATTAATCGTTGCTTAAATCAGCAGGTCATGTAGTTCAATACGTAAGTAATGACTCATTGAGTTCCTTAAATATGTGTATTTGAAAAGAATATAATATAAATAAGAATATCTACAATAATATATGTATCCGAATTATATATATTCCGAAAAAAATATATATTCTCACAAAAATTATATTCGCGCGGTAATTTTGGACCAAACGGCCCGCCATAGGACCACGGATGGATTTTTTGCTATTCATTAATTTTCTTCATAATTTTACTATATTTGTACAGTTTGAACAAGACGCCCCGATATGGAGCTATGGAAAACCAAGATTGCAACTGAACGTGGTAAAGGAGGAAGATGCCCTAGTCAACTTCAGGCGATGGTACAGTCAGTTCTACTCAAAAAACAGCCTCTCATTGGATTGTGAACAAAGGAATATTTGTGAATGATTCAAATAATGCCCAGCACAATATGCATTAAAGTATGTTGATTCGGTAGGATTCAAAATAGAAGTAGGATGTTTCATATGCTCTTTGAATCGGACTTTCATAAATAACGGCATGTGTTTCGTATAGTGTGCTCATTAATATATCACCGTGTGGTTATTTTTAATATTAATGTCAGAGGGATGAAGCGCTCACAGGATTTTGTGAGGGTAGTAACGATTTCGGTTCCAGAGTCTGGACAATGACGCCTGGAGGTGCCACATTCATTCAACCTCAGATGGGGGGGGGGGCGTCAAGAGAAAAGTTCTCTATTCTTTCATGCCGAGAATTCAAAGAAGTTGTTCAAAAAACGCCGATTTTGGCCCCCTTCCCCCCTGGATTTGGCCCAAACTTTGATCAGATGTTGTACTAACTGTTCCGAATGCTTGGGCGAAATTTCAGCCCCCTCGGATAATTAGGGGGAGGGGGCAGAGGGGCGAAGTTGCAATTTTTCCAAAACTTTAAAAATCGGTATCTCTTGGACGATTAAGTGTAAGTGTTGCGGTTTGCACTAAAAGACGTTAAAAGATATTCCCTACAATAATATAAATGCTGTTTGGACGGTTGCGTAATTTATCATAGTCATAAATCAATTTTTTCGATTTTAACGATTCAACTTTTTTTTGTTTTTCGCCTCTCCTCTCCCGGCGATCATTGATATGCAAAAAAAAACCTATTGAGGTGATTCTCCATGGAATTATGCATCAGCCACTTTTTAAAAGACCTTGGGGAAACGATTCGTTCTTGAGTTATAGCGATTTTTTTACGCGTTCCCGGTTACACGCACGTGGCAAATCGGCGGCCTTTGAGCGAGAGAGAGGTTGTTTCACCGCTAGGGCCTTAAATTCAGGCTGTATGTATCAGTAAGTAGGTATCTAATGTTCAGTCACATAGCCCTTGAAGGAACCACAAAAAATCTGAGAAACTAACGGTCGCCCTAACGTTCCTACTTTTGTTGGAAAATTGAAAATTCAAGTTACCTAATTTGTGCAATGTGACAACTCGATGGCTATTCAACCCCTCCCCCTCCCCTTTCACCCTTTTCCTGTGAGCCTTTCCAATAGGTACAGATATCTTAGATAGCTCTGCTACATTCAACTATCCATTTCAAAACTGATGACAAGTCAGTGGGTGCTATTAAAATTTCCGCTGAATGTGTATGTGCTTTAGCAAATGTGGTTTACTTTCCATTCATTCAGGATTTTCAAGTAGCTAATAGTACCTACATAATATTTTATAGCCACACCTTTTCCCATTCAGAAACGAGCCGATATAAAGTACCAAAAACCCTCAAAAATATTTTCGGGTAAAAATCCGGTCGAGGAAATTGACCAGTGGCGTGGCGTAAATTGCGATGTATGGATTGTTATGCCATTTAAACCTATGGTAAAGAATCGATTATTAAGGTGTTCGCTGCGAACACCCTGTTTATCGATCCTATTCCATAGGTTTAAATGGTATAAAAATCGATAAATCGCAATTCACGCCACGCCACTGAAATTGACGCGTTACATCTTATAACCAAAAACATTCCCTTTCACCCCTCCAAGAAGGTTGATAAAATTAACTACAAGATAAGCAAAAACCTCTCTTAAATTCTCAGGGTCCACCAAGACCACATATGTCCAAAAACTTACTCTGTAAGGTTTAAAAAAAGGGGAAAAAATCATCTCTTAACAATAAGAAAATTTGAAAAAAAAAAATCGAAAAACCGATTGTGTGGTTCAAAAGTATGTACGTAAATCTCTCGAATGAACTTGAAATCACAAAATCGGTCGAGAATATCTAAATGAATTTTCCCCTTCAAGTATGAGTTCCGCAACAAGCACGATTCGCTTGAAGCTTTCCATACACCAGCCGCACGAAACTGATTTCATCTTTCTTACCTACTGATTGTGGGGAGAGCGGGAGCATTTACTTTTTCCTTCATTTATACAGGATGCAACAAGCATGATTCCTGCGTTTCCAAAAACCCTTTCATTAAGGAGATCGCGAGAGGCTGTACCGCGTTCATTTCCAAAAGGGATTTCTCCAGAATATCACGCATTTTAATCATTTAAACAATTCATCTGTTCTTCTCTCCTCTCCTTCCGCCCATTGACAGAGGAACACAATTTTTCGGACTCACTGACGCGTTCGGCTCGATGCGTAAACAAGTGTGGATTACCTATGTACGAAGATAAAAAAAAAAAACAAAAAACCAACAAAAAACAAAAAACAAAATTCAGAGAATAACACCTACATTACAGCCTGGGTGTGAGTTTTATCTTATCGAAACTTAATTCAATTTTTTTAAATAACCCACCCTCGTGTCAAATGGGACACATTCCGCGGCACTGCTCCGGGAGCAGTGTCGCGTCCTGCGGCCGGCGCCGCGCGGCGGCCGAACTTCGATATATTCCACGCAATCAAATAGAACCGCCGCCAACCGGCGCCGCGCGACGGCTCCGAGCCAGTTTGGAGGAAATTTGCGAACAGAATTTCGCAGAATTTGCGAACTGTGTCAACCGGTAGAGTAATTATGTGCGAAGGCCTTTGATGCCCTAAATGGTACCTATATTATATAAGTAGTTTTATGAAAAAGTGATTTGCTCATTATCATTTGGTGTTTTAACCATCAAACATTCTATTCATCTCTCGCGTCGTAATGTAGTTTTCTATTTATTTATTACTCACTGGATTCGCCCTTTAAAACTTATATATCAAACTTTTGACCTGCAACTAATAAATGGAAGATCGATTTTTTTTTGTACAAGTGTATAGTTAGCTTTGAATATAAATAGTACTTTTTTGCATCAACGCACTGCCCATCAGCAAATTTAGTCTGGAATCGTGATACGTTGCGTTTGATCGTGCGTTTATTCGTGTGCGATGGAAATATTAATCCCTGGACTGTCTGACGTCACTCGGGCACTGTTGACTATCCTATGCATCTGCTTGACCCTGATATGGGGCATTCACAAATGGAATAGGAGGCATAAGGAGCGACTTGCTTCAAAGTTTCCTGGACCGACAGCTCTGCCTATCATCGGTAATGCTCTGACACTTCTTAACAGAACTTATTATGGTAAGTGACTTTTTTGGAGTAAAATAGCGACGTAATCTTTAACAATTGCCCGGTTGTTCAGCGTTCCGGACACAGTTAGAGGTGATTAGGGTTCCGGAAACAAGGGCCGTATCGAAGATTCTAGTTTGAATCGTATTTTTACCGTCACGTCTCATATTTATGCGGGTTATATAATTCGTAGATTGAAAATTTGCAATTGTTGAACGTAAAAAAACGCAGTAACTGTAAAATAAATTAAAAGACATTAGAAAAAATAAAAAATGAGAAAAATAATGAAAATAAGTCGGTAATGGGCCCTTTTTCCGGAGATTGACTTCATTCCATGGGTCAACTGGGAAAGACACTGGGTCCAACCATTGCTGAAACATAATGCAAGCATCAAACAATCTGAAAGCAAATTTACACGTACAAATATACAGAGCTTTTCATACATATCAATAGGAATGATAACTACAGCTGAACATTAATACTTCCGATTTCAGGATGCGCGTGATCAATCTAGAAATTTTATTTTACAATATCGTAATCATATCCCCTTGTTTTTTTATCAGTTTTTTTTAAAATCGTGAAGTGAAGTTATCAACTTATGGGGATTGCGCATTTGTTTTAAAATTGTTGATCTTATACGATTGTCCCAACTTTTTCTTTTGTCGATAATGGTAGGCAAAAATAATTTTACTTGTAAGGGAAGGAGAAATGTTTTTCCTTCCCGAAAACAGTGAGTGAAACTATCGTTGGAATTTGCTCTCTAATGATGGGTTTCATTTTCGCTCGGTGTATTTAGCTGCCTTGTGGGGCTCAAACAAAAGAACAAGTTTCAATGAGCTGTGTGATTGTCACATTCTCGAAAATCGTAATAAAAAAGTTGACATTGTCAGGAGTGAAACTCTCTTGAAAAATCGTCGGAAGACCCCTTAAGATCACCCAGTGCTGCATTTCCCATGAATCCACTTTTTCAAATGTTTTCATAAAACGGATGTGCATATTTTGCATTAGATAAAACAATATTGTGTCTATAATCGCACAGAGGAATTATCCAGGATATTTATGCTGATCAATATGGTATTTTAGGCCCCTTAATTTTGTTAATTTTCCAGACTTATTATGGACCGTTACCGGACTTTGTGAAGAGTATGGATCACCATTTAAATTCTGGCTCGGTAGTAAACTTCTTGTTTTCATCACAAAACCAGAGGATATCCAGGTAAATAATATATGAAATTGTTGATCACCTTATGATTTTGCAACACTTACAAGTATTCTGCGAAATAAGCATAATTGCATTGCCCGTAAACAAGTACGATATGTGATTTCAAAACCATTGCCAACCAATCATTGGTTGTTGTTACAACCATCAAGATAGAAAAAAAAACAAGAAAATGATGCCTCAAATATTGGACTCAATCATATTTTCCAGTCTACATTATTCCAGTGAAAGATATTGGAGCTTCATCGAGAACAAAAATAAGACAAAGATATTTAGTCCCACTTGTAAAGCAATAATGATGGCGATGGGGGGGGGGGGTATTGAAATGATGAAGGGGAATCGTCTACTTTGAATGGGGACGATATGAAAGAAGGGGATTTGGAATATTTCTATGAGGAGCAAGAAATATGACTAAGGGAGTCCGTCCCCTCGAACTCTCTCTATACAGGTAGAAAAAACTTCAATTTTGTTCTTCAAATAATAATGCACTTTTGAGAGTTCAAAAAACGTGTTGATTTAAAAAAATTGATTTTCTGAAAAGTTGGTGGATGATAATAGAAAGCTAAGGTCATTTTTGGTTTCAAAATCTGAAAGTAAGTGAGAGTAGGCCCATACAACATCTGCATTAAATAATTTCGTCATCTTTTTTCGATAAAAAACCAACGAAACAGTTTTGCAAGTGCCAGTATAGGCGGAAAATGCCATTTGATCGAAAAAACTTTCTTATGAGACACAGTGGAGAAAATCTATGAATTATAATACAACAGTGGAAACTATTGAGTGAGGTGAACATGAGAACCCTGGTAAAAATTGGTGATAGGAGCTGCGTTTCAAAATACCATGGGAGTTCTTATAGCCGACTGAAGAGGGCGATAGGAAATCATACAGCTGACTGTAGAAAGTGGAAAAAATCCTACGGCCGGGCTAAACGAAGCGATAAAAAATTACACAGCCGTCCTATAGTTTCTGTCGCCGGGCTTTACACTTTATCGCCTGGCTGTTGCTTTTTCGCCATCGGCTATAAAAGGCTATAAGAAATTGTGTAGAAATTCGTGTGCTTTGTAAACCTTTAAGTTTGTACGGAATCACCTTAATATTTACAAAACGCACATTATATTTTCCTTTACTACATATTTGTTTTCATCAATTAAAATGAGAGTAATCCATACAGAGTGTGCAAACATTTCAAAGTCATGAGTCAAAAAACGCTGACTCCGCGAGATTAAATATTAGAGCCTAACACAAAGTGGAGCGGCGGCGCACTGGCGCACATTGGTTCCAGAGCCCGATCTAGGCGGCATTAATTAGAATATCACCCTTACCAGCGTGCGAAATATGCTTATATGTGTTTTTTGGGTCGCTGATCACGAATTTAAAGTCGATTTGACCCTATCGTTAACCATAATATGGTTAATATGCGTAAAATAGCAAATTCGCACTCAACACGGGATTAATAATTTGACAACGTGGCTCTGTGCTTGAACTATGATAATCTTGACAAATTTAATGATTATGGTCATCAAGAGCGATCGACCATTTTACTAATATTTAGACCCTGATGGTTATTTTTGTTGAAGAGGGGGGGGGGTGTTGTTACATTGAATAACTTCACGAAGCATCCCGTCAGCACGATCTGTTTTTGGAATCTACATCTGGTTCCAGTTTCAGAAATGGCAGTATAAAAATTCAATAAAAGGGTGTCGCCCCTATCAAACCATTTCGACCAGTGAGCAGGAAAAAATTCACGAAACTGCAATGCCTGTTGATTTTTTAATTCCAGAGCAACCTTAAATTTAAAATGTTGCAATATATTTTTTTCGCCTCAAATGGCAAAAGATATTTATCTCTATACCATGCCTAGGATTACTTAGTACTAACTAGAAATGGCCACTTGAGACCCGGCAAAGTACCTAGTTGTTTTGGGCCGTTTTGGTAGTAGTAGATCATTTTTAACACGAAAAATTTTGATCTCCTCAGAGTTTTGCACGCCCATGAAAATGATATTTTTGGGTAATTCTTTGGAAAACCGATTAAATAAACTTCCCTTTGGCTGAATATCATAAGGAAAATAGTTTTTTGACATTGCCTGAGAGGTCGAACGATATCACCCACCCGTCACGCGAGCCACATCCAATTCTCATGAGGGCTGAGCAGGCGACTTTAAAAGGCTGTATTTCACAAATAGGCAAAAACTGGCAAAAGATATTTATATCTACATCATGCCTAGGATTAGTACTAACTAGAAATGGCCGCTTGAGACCCGGCAAAGGCCGGCAAAGTAGTTGTTTTTGGCCGTTTTAGTAGTATTAGATCATTTTTAACACGAAAAATTTTGATCTCCTCAGGGTGTTGCACGCCCATGGAAGTGATATTTTTGTGTAATTCTTTGGAAAACCGATTGAATAAACTTCCTTCTGAATGAATATTATGGAAAGAAGTAGTTTTTTGACATTGCCTGAGAGGTCGAACGATATCACCCACCCGTAACGTCCCACATACAGTACTCATGAGGCCTGAGCGGGCGACCTTTAAAAGGCTGTATTTCACAAATAGGCAAAAACTGGCAAAAGATATTTATATCTACATCATGCCTAGGATTAGTACTAATTAGAAATGGCCGCTTGATACCCGGCAAAGGCCGGCAAAGTAGTTGTTTTCATCCATTTATATGGAAAGTTACGCGAAATTAACGTAAAATAGCGCTATGTCTAATGGTTTATCTAGAGCCATAGACTTAATCTAAAGTTATGATTTAAACATCGTAAACCTTCAAATTCACTTGAATATTAGGCTTCTACCTTCAAAACCTTGTTTCTTTGCCCAAAATGGCGACAAACCTCTATTAGGGACATCACTCGAATGAGATAAATGAGGAAATGGATACAGCCGCTGAGAGAACGGCCTGCGCGCTCACCTTTAGGAGCTTATCATTTCCTTATCACTCATCCAATCATCATGATATTTGGCCGAAATACCCTCCAGAGTATGTAGTGTCGACCAGTTGTACTATTTTTCAATTTTTCCAAAAGTCATTTTTTCGAATTAATGCCGCCTAGATCGGGCTCTGGAACCAATGTGTGGCGCCTACAAACCTAACAGGGATACTTCACACATTGCGCAACGCGTGAAGTATCCCTGTTAGGTTTGTAGGCGCCAATGCGCGTTCAGCGCTGCAGCTGGCTGCTCGCCCGCCGCGCCGCAGCGTACCGCGGCGCTTGAAGCAACTATTTCACACCAGAGGTATTGCACAGTATCATACGAAATTGAAGGCGCTCGAACAAATTAGAAATGGCAGGCATCCTTCAAAAGTACGGAGCTTTCCTCGCCAATCAAATCAGGATACTGCGGTCCAAAAAGAGAGCGATAGTCCAATAACTCACTAAGTCCTAGCATCCGTAATTAATAACGTTTAGCATACACTTTATCGCCAGGCTGTTGCTTCGTCACCATCGGCTATAAAAGGCTATAAGAAATTGTGTTGCCGGCTATAGAAGCTATTGGAAATCTTACAGCCGGCTGTAGGTCTATGGTATTTTGGAACACAGATTCTACCGCCAATTTTTACCAGGGAATACCCATTGTTTATAAATTGAACGATCATTGGGGGAGATACATAGGACAAAAAAATTTAGTCTGCTAAAAAACATGTGTTTAAATGGAAAATTTCGAAATAATTAAGTACGCGATAAACCCCCAGTTCTTTCTCGTCCTCTGATGTCTGTATCCTCAAATAAATATTCGACGAGGAAAGTCCTCGTGTGTCTGAGTCGATTATTGCCCTCATATTTCTGACCAGAAAATTGCCATACATACATTAGAGCCGCTTTTACAGTGCTCTGGCTCTCTACGACGCCTAATCGCCAAAAAACCTTGTCCTCTCCCAACCCTTCAGGGATTTGGCACTCCCTTATTTCAATCAAAACTCCCATCTGAAAAACGGGAGAAACACGATGATACGGTTTCCCCAGGAAGGAACTTCAAAGCTCAAAAAAAGCTCTTTAAATTGTGATCACAGCCGAGAGACCACTTTCTTATCCCGCGCGCGGCGTTTGAGTCTCCAAAAATATTCATCCATTCCCAGTGGCACTCCCTTATTTCATTCAAAACTCCCTGTCACCGTTCTTTCACTGGGCGTCCCGTTCGTCTCCTCCCAGGAAGAGCCCAATCATGCATCTCCTTTGGCAGCCTCTCTCCCAGCATTTTGTTAACATGACCTCATCAGACAAGAACTGAAAATTGTCATAATCTGATAATTTTTCTTTTTGTTGCATTTTGTAGATCATTTTGAACAGCTCTAAAACATTAGACAAAGATGAGGTTTATAAGTTTTCCGAGGCAGCGGTAGGCACCGGTCTGGTTACAGCACCACGTACGTAAATACAGGATCAGAAAACTTATTTTATCATACTACATAAAACAGGTCATCTGCAATTTGATGTACCTCATCGGCATTTGGTTTTGACAAACCTCTTTTTCAAACATGGAATGCGTAGTGTTAAGAAAAGGTCATGTTAAACCCTTGCTCATACACTACTCTCTAAGCCACGTAAAATCTCTTTTTCAAAAATGAGAAATGCGTCGATTCGATTGACAAGAAAGTTTGAGCTACATCGACGGGGTAAGTTCGCAACCACGTAACCATCGGTTTTCCGCGTTGCAGACTTCCTCTCCCAGTTTATTTTTAAAATAAAAAAAGTACTCTACGACATTTCTCATAAACTGCCTTGAAAATTATTTTCTGTGTCCTAAGAAAATGCTGAAAAAACTTCAAGGAATGATGCAGATTTGTCATTCTTTAAAAAACGAAACAGGAACCGAGATTTTCAAACATCGCAAAACGAGACACGTGGTTGCGAACTAACCTCGTCAAATGCTTTTTACACACTCTTCAATATGTTCCGTATGAGATGATGCTTATTACAATACAAAATTTGCAAATTGACTCATTGAATGGACTTCTGGGTCAAATCTTAACGTTCATAATCAACATCGATTGAATCCGGTTATGCCAGACAAAAAAAGGTACTCTTTTAATATACTGCAAAAAAGGGAAGAAGTATCAAAAAAGTGATTGGAAACCAATTAAAATGACTCTACATCCCTTTTTGTTCTCTGATTTCAGTCGAAAAATGGAAGAAAACTCGAAAAATACTTACGCCATCTTTTTCCCCGAAAAATATCACAAGATTTGTGCCTGTAATGAACGAAAGAGCAAGAATTATGATACAAAAGATGCAACATCACTGTGGTAGTGGTGTCGAAAAAGATTTTTATCCGTACTTCTTCACGGCTTCATTTGACACACTCTGTGGTGAGCTACTAATTGTAAGCAAGTAACCTCCTCTATTTTAATATTGTTGAAAATATAAAAAAGTGTTTGGCATCGAAAATTATCTGTGGGAGCTGTGAGATCTGAATCAATCATTTATCTATAGCCGACGAGGCAACCTTTGTATTCCAATATGCGCGAAATAGCATGGCGCGCTTAATATCGTTGAAAAGAAGAAGATTTTCTCTTGTTCCAACGAGAAATTCCAGTCGTAGCATATTTGATAGAGATCCTCATTGGTCTGATGGGAAATTTTTCTTCGTGTATTTTGAAATGGTTGAAAAAAAATGCGCCTTAAATTTGTGGTCGTACTCTCATTCAATCCTGATTTTTTTGGAATTTTTCATGAGATAATTGGATGAGCTTGGAAATGACCTGCACCTTATAAAAGAACTTGAAACGACCATTAATAATTGCCATGAAGTAGCACTTCTAGAGGCAAAAAAAGCTTCTTCGGGGCCTCGAAACAGAAAATGAGGTTCAATATTTCAAAAACCTGCATGCTACAGAAAGATGTAATTCAAAATTCCAAAACATTCTATTACATGGAAATTACAGAAACGTTTCTTTTTTAGAGGCATCTTTTGGGGTTCAGGTTGACTCTCAGCTAGGCCGAGGTCGAGATTGGGCTCAAGTTATTTTTCGGTAAGAATCTGGCGTCTATAAATTAATTAAATTTTTTTTCTCTCTATTAACATTAATTTCAAGAATTTCAAAATTCGGCAAAACTATCTAAAAATTGTCATGAGGCTACCAGTTACCACCATTTTGGTCCAATTTTGACACCCAGAACCGTAAAACTTTGCTCCAGCTGCCGAACTTTTCGGATTGCAGATATTACCGAAAACTGCTTTTGTTGTTTATGGACTATTTGTAAAATGCAAGCTTTCATTATTTTGTAATTATTGGAAGGCACGCTAACAAACAGTTTTGCAAATTTCATATTCAGTCTTTAGAACATGTTTTTGTTCAATTGCTTCAAGTTATTCTTCCTTCCATAGGCGGTTCTAGACATTCGTGCTTGGGGGTGCCCAGAGGTGGAAAATGTCGGAGACCGGCTCCGAAGGGGACGGTCGCTCAGAGGAGGCCTAAGTTTCGGCCCTCAAGTTTTACCCCTTTCCTACCCTCCTTTCTCTTTCTCTCCCCTTCCTTTCTACTTAAATATCTATACATTTAATGTAGAAAATTTTTAGCAAAACTTTCCATCAAAACTACAGTCTTACCATAAAAAAACAGTAGACTCTTTGTAAAACACGGCTATCAACATTAATTCTGTTTAAAACATTTTCAATTAATTGCTGGGATTTTTTCTCAGTGTGCGCGAATACAGAATCTTTAAACCCTGGTAAAAATTGGCGATAGGAGCTGCGTTTCAAAATACCATAGGGGTTCTTATAGGCGGCTAAAGAGGGCTATTGAAAATCATATAGCTAGCTGTAGAAAGCTGAGCAACTCATATAGCCGGGCTATACGAAGCTATAACAAAGTATACAGTCGGGCTATAGTTCCTATCGCCGGGCTTTACACATTCTCGCCATTGGCTATAAAAGGCTATAAGAAATTGTGTAGAAATTCGTGTGCTTTGGAAATCATTAAGATTGATACGGAACTACCTTAATATTTACAAAACACACTTTATATTTTCCTTTAAAACATATTTTTTTTTTCATCAATTAAAATGAGATGGTCCATACAGAGTGTGCAAACATTTCAAAATCATGAGCTGAAAAACGCCGACTCCGCGAGATTAAATATTAGAGCCTACTCGTAACACAAAGCGGAGCGGCGACGCATTGGTGCCTACAAACCTAACAGGGATACTTCACGCATTGCGCGGCGACGCACTGGCGCCTACAAACCTAACAGGGATACTTCACGCATCGCGCGGCGACGCACTGGCGCCTACAAACCTAAACAGGGATACTTCACGCATTGCGCAATGCGTGAAGTATCCCTGTTAGGTTTGTAGGCGCCAATGCGCGTTTCGCGCTCTCTGCCCGCCCGCCGCGCCGCAGCGTGCCGAGGCGTCTGAAGCAACTATTTCACAACAGAGGTATTGCACAGTATCATACCAAACTGAAGGCGCTCTAATATATTAGGAATGGCAGGCATCCATCAAAAGTACGGAGCTTTCCTCGCAAAATAAATTAAGATACTACGGCGATAAAAGAGAGCGGTAGTTTAAAAACTAACTAAGTCTTAGTATCCGTATTTAGTAACGTTTAGCATAAACTTTATCGTCCGGCTGTTACTTAATCGCCATCGGCTAAAAAAGGCTATAAGAAATTGTACAGCTGGCTACAGAAGCTATTGGAAATTTTACAGCCGGCCTCAGGTCAATGGTATTTTGGAACACAGATTTTACTGCCAATTTTTACGAGGGAAAGGAGTAATTTCACGGTTCCGATAACCGTACTTAATTTTTGCTTGGGGGTGCCCGGCACCCACTGGCACCCCCGTAGAACCGCATATGCTTCCTTCTGTGTCATACATAGAAGATCTGTTAAATTTTAGGTTCTTGTTTGTTTTTTATATAACTTAAATGATTCCTATATTCTTTTCGTGCTGCTTTCAGAAAAAAATGAACATGAATTATTTTACGTACCTAAGTGTTTTTTAGTGGATCTACTGTTTCGTATGAAACGGGATGCTTAACGGATGTTTAATATTTTATCCATCCTTTTTGGTTTTTTAAATCATGCGTCAATATTGATCTGTTTATCGATTTAAATATTACTCATCTGATTTGCGTCTAGAGGGGAGGGTTTTTTGGTTTTCAGAATTTAATACGACTAGGGCTAACCATGTTTATAATTTGCTTCTAAATCCAAAAGTAACTCAGAATTTTTTCCTTCACCAACCGGTATTTTTTTATTAATATACTTTTATGACAAGACGCTTTTTGTTATGACTGCAAAGATCCTGTTTGAAAAACCTGATTTTACGAAAAAAACAGGTCGATGTTAAAAAACGTAGAAGACTCTTTTCGAATTTTACCGCACAAAATTCGGTTAAAAGTCAAGGAAGGTTTATTCGATTTTTTAAGGGAAATCAATCTCAGTCACTAAAAAATACTTAAGAAACATTCAATTAATTCAGAAAACAGTAATGACCCAAAATTTACAGACCTGAGTTATGAATAGTTAGCGGAGTAAACATACCTAAGCCGTGAATCCCATTTTCTGCCTTCTATAGACAGCAGTTCTATGGTACGTACACTGAAGTAGAATCCCCTAATATAAGTTTAATATTTTTAACTTTTGAGGACAAATGATCGGTTTCTTTTCCGGAATTCCCAGAGAAACTGCATGAATTTTTTTATGAACTAATCATAGTTTTACCTACAGCTCCTGTAAACATCTATTTCTAAATTATTAATGAGTTCTTTCATATTAACCTAGCGTTACGCCTCTTTTCATGGAACGATTATTTGCACCATGGTTCTATATGGGCTACATATATGAAAAAACAAGCACTGCAAAGAAGATGAAAAAGGACTGTGACGATTTTCGAGAATTCAGCAAGAACGCAAGTATTAAATGACACACTTCATAAACTTAACATTTAATTTGTATACAGGGTGGCCCAGACCTACCGCACCAGCGGGCTGATTATTGAAATTTATAGACACAGCGATAGACAAAAAAGACATAGGGAGTATGGAGCTAACCTATTGGTTAAAATGTGTGGTTCCTATAGACTAAGGAGAAAATGATGGACTAACTTTCGGGTCTCTAGTGGGTTGCCGTTAGATAGTCTATCACCTACGTCCTTTGTCTATTGCAACCATTCGCTTCCACCAATAGGATCCCTCCATATCCCTCTTGTCTTCTTTGTCTATAGCTTTGTCTATCAATTTCAATAATCGGCCCGCTGGCCTCTTTTCGGTTAATTTAGGTAGCACAAAATCGAGGATCGCGGGAATGAATAGGGAATCAACCCCAAGGAATCCGAATTTTTATGGTCCCAGAGCCTCCCTGACGTCCCTTGGGGAGTAAAAGGGGGGGGGGGAGGGGGTCCGTACTTCAAAACTCAGGGTTTATGTCAAAATTTTGAAATTTTTTTTATCGGAATCAGAACGTACGGACATTTTAAACTTAAATTGACACAAAGAAATCCAAAATCGGCCCATCCGTGTCCAAAATACCGACCCCTTAAGGTGGGGGACAAAATCCCCTTTCAAAAAAAGTAAAGTTCCGATTTTTTTACGATTTTTTGGTGATAATGTTGCTAGAATCATGCATCAGCATCAAAGCGATTATACTTGATCTTGTCGCAATTTTGTCTCTATAAAATCGCGTTCGATTAAATCAAAATTTAATCTTAACTTATATCATTATTTTCCATTCGACTATATTGCCGTCAACAAGATGACGATTTTATTGCAAATTTATGTGATGAAATAGTAATTTATCGCAATTTTCTTATGCGATATTATTGCAACAAATCGACGTCACTAAAATCAAACATTTTACAACCGAATCGCGATCACTGCTGCTTGGGGTGCGTTATATTTTCCTGCAGTCGGTTCTATGCTGACTTGTTTTCGTATCTTGTCCCCATTACAGGTAATTGATAAAAGGAGAAAACATTTTTTCAAAAAACTGCGGCAACAATAATGGTGATATGAATGAAGATATTGATTGTCCGGAGTATTTACTAGACGCCATCCACAATTCTCAAGAAGACAGCATCTACACTTATTCTGACACAGACAAGATAGATGAGGCTCTAACCTTCATACTCTCGGTATGTTTCCTTAAATTTTATTTTTGGCACCGAGCTGTGATTGCACCCGAGGCGCGAAGCGTCTCGGGAGGTTGGACCGCGCAGCGGTCACAGGGCGTGCCCCCAGTTACTTCCAAAAAAAGGTCATGTAAATGCATCTAATTTACGATGTGAAACAACATACATATCTTTTATGGCACTTACCAGGTTTTGAATGTCTGCCCTTCTTTTTAATGTAATTAGACAAAGGGGTCGTCCAATGAAAATTGAAGTTGATCGAAGTCGAAAAAATTTATTTCCAAATTTTTATACAAAACGCTTCTCATCAGTCTCAAAAAAACTGATTCAAAATTTCACAGCATAATTTTCATTACCAATAACATTCCAAGATCTATTTAAATGACTCTAACGCTAGCAACATCGTTGCTAAGATGTAACTGCGTTTTTCCTGAAATCACCGTGTTTTGCCTTCAAACTTTAAATTGCTTTTGAAGGGTCCATACATTACAAAAATCGGCAGTCCAATTTTGAGCCTGTCATGTGAAAAAGATCTCCTAAAAGTTTGACTTTTTGATTTCTCACTGACGCGTGTGATCTGCGGATGAGGTCTAAAAAGACCCAAACCGGTATAGATCTCTCGGCGTGACTCCAACTTAATAGTTGATATTCCAATGCAAACTGCCTGAACTGAACACTCTCCCCCCTCAGTTTTGTACTGGTACTCATTAGAGTTAAAAAAAATTGATTTTTGACTTTAATTATAATTTTTGGAACTTCTTAGCTTTGATTTCCCCGCGAAATGGTGTGGACCCAGCACCATTTCTCCACCTTGTTACATACACTTCGGGCCACTTCTTAGTGTTTTTTCTCTCATCTAAATTTTGATTCACATCAGAATCAAGACTGCCAGATTTTCTCATTTGTTCAGACATGAATGACATAGTGTCAGGTACTTTTTGACTGAAACATATTTACGATAAATGCATGTCTATCGTCTAATTCTAGTATATTTTTTACAGGGAAGTGAAACCACGGCGCAAACCAACTGTTTTGTTTTGTTAATGCTAGCTATTCATTCCGATTATCAAGTAAGTCTGTAAAACTTATCTGATTTTGCATATACCTCGAAATAGACGAGGATAAGCAAACGGGACATATCTTCATGTAGTATTTCCAAAAAGAGCATAACTGGTCGAGGATAAAGAATATTTAATCGTTTAAAGTTTGTTAAGAAGCTGTGAAGTATGTTAAAAAGCGAAAAAAAAGGGCTACGGAAGAATTTAAAATACTCAACCCCCCTCCTCCTTGCTGCCAATGATTACATAACATTCATTTATTCAAATCGATTTCGAATGATCTCTTTTTTGGGATGATATGAACGCATTTGATAAAGTCCATAAGGAATAAGGATGACACCAAATCCTGAAATGTGGATTCACCATAGCTTCTTTACGAAATTAATTTGACAAAATTTTGAATACAAATATGGTAATATTAATTTGAATGTTGAATAAGAACCACCATTCCAAGCATTTTCAATATCCAAATGTTTTATTCTTTCATTTTTTCATTGTAGGAGAAAGTTTTCGAAGAGCAGTACAATATTTTTGGAGACACTGATAGACCTATTACACCGGATGATCTAGATAAAATGGAATATTTGGAACAGGTTATTAAGGCAACCCTCCGCTTGTTTCCTGTGGTTCCTATGTTTGCGAGGCATGCAGAAGAGGACACGAAATTAAGTGAGTGGTGGCTTTCAAAACCTTATGGGTCAGTGACGCTGGTAACAGAATCGTGTTTTGATGCTTGATTCTTGTAGATCAGCTTTAAGTAACAAGAGTTGTTCGTCACGCAGCAACTTTCTACGTTCAAGATTAACAAATATATTGCGATTTGAAAAATTCGGTTTATGACGTCAACACGTCATCCATCGCGGTAGTGACACCCTCGGTTTCTTCCACCTTCCTTCCATCCGGGTTTCACGTTGAGTATAGTGGAAATGTGTGTATCCCTGACAAATGAAAGCAAGGTGGAAGACACCGAGAGTATCTTTACCGCGGCGGTTGACGTCATTAAGCGAATTTTTTAAAGCGCGCGATATCTTCATTAGTATTGAACGTAGAGAGTTACAAGTTTGCGGGATAATCGATTTCTATCGGGACAACTTAATTTTGCTACGGCGTCAGTGGACCCTAGGGTGTCCTACTTTAAGGGTTACCTCCAAATTTTGATTACGGTACCCTCTAAATCGTTGAACTCACCTATAAAAATAAGATTTCACTAAAGAAAAAAATTCTAAAAAGTTTTTTAAGGGTTGCACGAGGCCAACAACCACCCCCCGTCCTTGGGCCAAATTCTGCATTTTGCCCACTTTAACGAATTTCTTTCACAACATTTGACTTGAGCTAGAGCCTCAAATATTTCACAGTGAGTGCAAATCTTAGGGTACGGCGCAATGATACAACTATTTAACTCTCCGGAATGCGTGAGGTATCACGCTCCATTTGAAGGCGTTTTCAAAACAGCAAATTTCCGATATCCGGATAATCGTCTTTCATAGTTCATATTATTTTTTTTTTTTTTTCATTTCTAACCACTTGTTCATTTATAATCCTCCTATAAAAATTACCCACTTGCTATATATGTCGCAGGCAAATAGTAAAGTCAGGCATTTTGTCAAATGCCTAGGTAAATAGTCAAATATTCTAACTTAGATTGAAATTCTGATTCTTTTTCTAATTTCAGACAAAATATTGCATTGCTCCTGCAAGAAAATATTCTCAATAACAATTTGCACCACACAATAGTATTTTAAACGATTTTTAGCTCCTGAAAAGACACCGATCTTGAAATTTTCAGCATATAATAAACTACAGAATTTTCGGAATTTTAACATTTACAAATATGAGAAGCAATTGAAGAGGAAGAGACAAAAAGAGTTCGAGGCTTTGAAGAGTTATTTTTCCAAAAATAGTGAAAAATCCTGAGCACTTCGCCATAAATTCGCAAAATTTTATAGACCGTCAAAATTTGTCTATCTGCCTAGGCATTTGACAAAATGCCTGATTTCACTATTTGCCTGCGACATATACAATTCTAGCTGAAGCGCACTTAAGCTATGCATTCATGACTGCAAAAATGTTACCGGAAATCGAAAAGGCCAGCGTGCATGAAGGCAATTTCAATTGTAATCTTCCGTCGCATTACTAAGGCGCAATGATACAACTATTTGAACTCTCCGGAATGCGTGAGGTATCACGCCGCATTTGAAGGCGTTTTCAAAAACCAAGTTCCGATACCTGGATTATCGTTTCGCATACTTCATATTCTTTTGTTATATTCCGTACCACTTGTTTATTTTTAATCCTCGTATAAAAACCACCCATTTGCTAAATACAGAGCGCACGTCAGCTATGCATTCACGACTGCAAAATTGTTAAAGGAAATCGACAAGGCCAGCGTGTATGAAGGCTATTTCAATTGAGGACACCGCACCAAGAATAGGCTATGACTGGAAATCGCGTTTTGAGAAAAACGTATTTAAAGTTTTGTTTTTGATGTATTGCGCAGACTTTTCTATGCAGGTACCCTGTTTTGGTGTTTTTGGGTGACCTAACCCTTTTATTGAAGGATGCCGGTAGATTTTGGGATACATTTTGGGTTTACACTCTAATATTTTTAATTTAAAGAAAACGGTTTATAGGCCATTATTACGCCCAACAGTCATTTTGGTGGCAATATGAAGTATAAATCATTTTAAACACGCATTATTACCGCAAAATGAAAGAATATCGATAGTGAGTAAAGAAAGGGGTAACTAGCACCTTAGGCCCTCAAGTTTTTATGCCCGTTTATAGGTCGTTCTTGCTCCCATCGATCCAGAGGCCTGACTTAACTCGGAAAAAAAAGGTTTTTCGACCTCGAGCCGTTACCTATCTATATTCTATCGGTACCACAGCATAGTCCAGGGTAAGTAGAATCCGAAAAGCAGTTGGGCGTAATAACGACCTAAACGCCTATAGGCTGTTCTTGGTGCGGTGTCCTCAATTCACGTGGGCTCGCGAAGCACCATCTAGCGAATGGGCCACATAGCAGCTAGGGGACTTAACCCCCTCCCCTCCCGTGTAGTTTATACGTATATACGTTCAACTGGACCATTGCTAGATGAATATGATGAGGCGTAAGCATATGACCTGGTTCTTTAAATCATTTACTATTATTGTCGTGTGGTTGAAAGACTTTGTGTAGTCGTGGCTACTTACATGCATGACCTTGTCTGGGGGCCCATCAATGTATAGGAAGCCACATTTTGAGCCTTTTGAGGACAGGTTGCCTTGTCTTAACAATTGAAAATGATTGATAATAATTGTTTTCAGCACAAAATTACGTTTTGCCAGCTGGTGCAACTGCGGTAATTTATCCATTCTTCACCCATTATGATATGGAACTTTGGCCAGAACCCAACAAATTCTACCCGGATAATTTTACAGCTGAAAAAATGGCGAATAGACACAAGTATGCTTTCTTACCTTTCAGCGGTGGTGCTAGAGGATGTATAGGTAAGTCTGCAAAAAAAGGACATCACAAATTTTAGAGGACATTGTGTTCTGGCCTTAATTTATTTATATTATATTTTATTTATTCAAATGTTGGAAAGATGTGTAGTCATTTGAAAGTTCTCTTGCTCATGCCAACACATGAGTGTAGAAAGCCTTTTTCCAGATGTCAAAGGCTACCGATAAAATTTTCATGAAATGAAAAAGTGTCACGAGTAAAGCAGAATGGAAGAAATGTGCTGATTTTGAAGAATTAATCAAACACAATATCAATGAGAGATTTCTATTGGCTGTTGACTAAAAAATATAATACAAGCTGAATTATAGAGCATTTCCTGATGAATCTTGCATATTAGACCAAGGGCATATCCATATTTGTTTGTGTGAAAGAGTTAAGTCTAGTCAGAAAACACCAACCTACGGTCAGCTCAGAAATTCGTGGTTTCGCACTCTAGTCATCGA